TTATAAAAGCATTTAATTATTAGTTACACAGTCAGTTCATAATAATTGATGGAATTGTCTGTGTCTTGTTTTAAATTACTACATAGTTATTTACAATCTTTTTTGTGATGCATGAACATTTCCTTAATGCTTAGTTAATTAGTGTTAAGTAGGGGTGGGAATCTCTAGGCACCTCACGATTCGATTCGATTACGATTACGAGGGCTGCGATGCAATTATAAAACGATTATCGATGCATCTTTTTTTCTATATAGCATTTATATTTTCTCACTGTGTGAGCTCAAGTTTTGAGTTCAAGTTTCAGGTTTATTTGTCACTTGCACATTTCAGGACATTCATGCATTGAAATGCTTGTGGTGAGGCTCAGGTAATCACTCTACAGAAAGTAAATAAGTAAAAATAAAAATACAAGAAAAACCAACTGAAATATATTAAATATTCATAATATATACGCATATATTCTGTGTCAGTAAAGTATCTTTGAGACAGGACGTGTGCAACATAGCGTGAAAGCCCTGTTTCACAACGACTGAGAACCGGCGTGCAGACTGCAGGTCACATAGCAGCGATGTGTTATTCGCATTTATAAGCACCTCAGTTGGTTTCCTGGTACATTAAATCTGCAACGAGAGACTGTCACACACTAAAAAGTGGCGAAGCTGAAGTCGCTTCTCTTTCGAATTCTCCCGTTCCACCTTAAATGGTGCCGCATTTACATTCGGCCCCTCAGTTAGAATGTAAGGTGGAACGGGTAAATTCAAACAAGAAGCGACTTCAGCCTCGTAAAACAATCGAACGTTGAGAGACATTTAACTGATCTACTTCTGAGGAAAAGTTTTCTGGCGGAGATGGGAGGAAAGCGGCTATAGCTAAAGCTTAAAGCACAGCGAAGTAAATCTGTGTTTTCGTTTATATTGTTTAGCCTATACTAGGACATTATCACATACTGAGACATACTGGACATTAAATTTTGCGGCTCCCGAGGTGGTTTGATTTTTATTGAAAGGACAAAATGTTAACATTTGTGTTGTGACTCCTGACCTAACTTGGCTTTTAATGCAGAGGGAGCTGGTCGGATTTCTCGCTTATCCAGTAGTGTTTTTGTTATGTGCAGCCACAGACTGTCCAGGCGCTGCATTTCCGCACTTCCCAGTTCCGCCTTTTGCGTTCCGTCAACATTACGTTATAAATTAAATATTAGAAAATCGATTTTTGACATTTGTGAATCGATTCAGTATCGTTCACGTCCACACCGCGGTGCATCTACGAATTTTTTCCCGCACCCCTAGTATGATTGTAGTGATTATGGTATAATTTTCAAAATGTCACTAGTCATCAATTAGATCCCTGTTATACAGTTGTGAGTTTGGATAATGTATTTATAAGGATATTTCCTATTACTTATTACACTGTAATACATTTATGAAAAGCATTTACAGTGTCATTAAGTAAATGGTAAATAATTTAAATGGTAGCATTTATTAATGAACAAGTACCAATTGTGTAATTATTAACTATCAGTAACTAACTTTAAGATATTGAATAAAATGCAATTTATGGGTGCCTCTTATCATAAAGTGTAAGTGTCTTTACTAGTCACATTCTAATGGTTCTACATTGAAAATTACTTTTGATGTTGTTCCTTTGTAAATGTATGTCTGTGACCTCTGAAAGAGTCAAACGTACCACTAAAGTTGACCTTTTTTAAACTTCTGATCTTTCTGCTGTATTCTACAGCACCCCACGCACCCACTGGCAGTGTATAACGTGTCTGGAGAGTTTGCCATGCTGTGGCACGGAGCGCAGGCAGGAGCATTTGACCTGCGCACAGCTGTCTTGGAGGCCATGACCGCCTTCCGCCGAGCAGGTAAGACAGAGATAGTACATTCTTACACTGTTCAGCTAGTAGTGGATGATAAGCTGGTTCGTCCAGTATACAGTATATATAAGAAATTCTTCTTAAGGTATTAGTTTTGTCATTACTGTTATACCAGTATGCAAATAAATGCAGACAAAGCAACATACAAACAATGCAAAACATGCTGATTCCTTTCTCTCTCGTTTACTGAGTTGCAGTCTGAGTTAAATTAGTCCAGTTTATTGTCAAAGGAGCAGACATCGGATTGTAATGGGTTAATGAATTAACAGGGGAAAAGAGAGTGGAAGGAAAACCCAGTCTTTTGGGGTTAGTCATTAGCGTAGCATGGAGACTAGCCAGCTTTCCGTGTGCAGTGCTCCTCACTCAGCCACCTGCTTCAGGCAACACTGAGGTCTTGGGCTACAAGCCAAGAGGCTCCGCAGCTTCTCAGCTAAAACTGGTAGCATGAACGGCAGAATGTAATAGCAGTGTCTGACAGTTGTAGATTAAAGCTCAAATGTAAGAGGCACACATATGAGACAAATGACTTTCGGACATAAAGCAACATTCAGCACTGTCTTTCGAGGCTGAAATTGGCTTCTTATTCGCCAGGCTCCAAGCATCTAAAATGGTTTTATTTGAAATAAGATATATATAAATACACTATACCGTGATCGATACCGAAACCATCAGTAATCTTACAAATTTTACAAACAAATGTTTGCCCATACTGCCTGCTACTATGTCCAGCACACTCGCGTTGTATCTTTATTATGAATTGGAAAGTGAGTTGATCATACCCAGGCATCTATTTATGTCAATTAAATGCCTGCATGATCTGCTTTATATGGATTTTCTCAAGCGTTTGTTGTTTGCAAAATTTCAATAAGTCTCGCCTTCCTTTGTTCACCAAACCAAAGTTAGTTGAAATGTGCATTTAGTAGAGATGGACATTTTGACTAATTTTGACATTTGAGTATTTATAGGAGTTAATGAACGGATACTCAGTTAACTCCGGGAATGAAAAAAAAACCCAAAGAAACAGACTTCAGACCACATTAATGTTGGTCTCCTGTCTTACTTACTGGCTTCTTTTAGATGACAGCACTGGTGTTGTACAAACGTTTAGCAGCACATAGAGGAATATACATGAAAACATGCTTGATTATTCAAAAAATAGCCACAGGAAATATATAGGTTTTCTTGTTGGATTAGTAACAAAGGCTGCCTAATAAGCTAACAAAGCTAACCAGTACAGTGTTGGATGCTGATGGAGACATGTCCTCATCTTCTTCTTAAAAGTGGGCTTTTCTCCTAAGTGTGCCAACAGTAAATTTGTCAGATACATATATTTTCTCTGTTTCTGGACCTTGCTAACAACAGCTAGAATAGTTAGCCTCGTCACGCCACGCCAGGACTGGCTGTGCTTTCTCTCTGTTCCATGCTCTTATCCGTGCTCTTATATCTTCTCTGTCTTCTCCTTAACGAGTGTTTGGCAACGTATTCACATTCAAGTACTCATGTTTCATATAATATACTTAAGTACAAGCAAACTGTCAAATTTTACTATCCTATTAAAACATAAAATTGGCATTTCACTGAATTGTTGGTCTATATTTTTTCCCTATCCCGTAATGAAATGTAAGAAATTCCTGAATAGTGATTTCAGTATTTAAATACTGGCACCTCAGTTAACCAACAGTTAACCAAATACTCAAGTACCCATGCACATCCCTAGTAGCATCCGTTGCACTCATGTTAACAAACCACAAAGGAAAATTATGAAGTGCAGAGAGGGGTACATTTGAAAATATTTAATTGTTCAAAAATACTGGCTTCAGAAGATGCAGACGAGAGTTGTCCAAGTATGGCCAATCTGAAGCAAAAAAAAAGGATTCTGGAAACCATGTTTATATTTACCAGAGAAATTGGCTAGTTTTTTTGTAGTTTAATTGAGCAGCAAAACCTACCCTTTCAGATGAACTACACTAAAGCTAACTCTGTAGCTGACACTTGAGCCAAGTGAAAAGAAGTTAACATATCTTCTACAGGGAATACACTTAAATATGGCTTTTTCTGCAAATGTTGCATAATTTCTGTTTATTTCTGTTATATATGGAGTATAACATTTTGCCAATAAAAAATATCATTTAAATATGTCATAACTTTTGGACTTGCCACATGTTTTGTTTTTATGTTTTTTAATATGTTAAAATCAAATAAACGTTTTGACTTTTGTGTACAGTTGTACAGAGCCATGCTGTGGAGGAGTCATCTTATTGTATGCAAGGTCTATTAGTAAATTGTATCATGAAAGGATACAGTTGGTGGCATGTGTACTCCTCTTTTGTTATTTACAGAGAAACTGCTGGGACACATCCTCTGCTTTTTTTTTTTATAAATGCTTATGTGTCACTTATTGAATTTCCACTTCTTTTCTTTCTTTCAGGAGCAGACATCATCATCACCTACTATACTCCTCAGCTGCTCACATGGCTAACAGAGTGAAAGCCTGCTCTTATGGATCATTTCAGATCTATGTTGAGCACCCCAAAAGTATCGTAGCTCAAAGAACATCTGGAGATGGTAGAGCAAGTATCACTTTGAGCTCCATAATAGATAAGATGATTTTAACACTATGATGGTTTTGGGGAAACAGAGCCTATGCAATTTTATCCCAGTCTTCTATGACTGAGCTACTTTGACCAAGGGGTTTGTTTATAGTAAACATACATTCTCTGGACAAGCAGATTTGATCACATTAAGTTAGCTTTATTGTTTTTTTGGGTTTTTTTTTAAGGTATAATTCTTCCATCTGTTATTTTTACTGTTAATAGATATATGATAACTACACCCAAGTTCATTTGTGGTTAACTGATAAATATTATATTCATTTGCTTTTGTTTCCTGCCTTCTTCTGTGATGTACGCAGTTTATCTGTTTTGTTTGGATGTGAATCTTAAAGGGTGGAACAGGACTGAACATACAGCCCTTCCAAGAATGCTGGAAATCTTGACTGGATCTATGTATTAAACTATACAGTATTGTTGTGAGACCTCAATGAATAAAAGAATGAAACAAGTCATGTTTAAAAACTTGTTTATTTCTTGGGGGGGTTGTAGGTTTTTTTTTGTTTTTTTTTTAGCTTTTTGAAATAAGTACCATTCACTTCACAGTCTATACAGTCCATGTATATGGAAACCAAGCAGCAAAAACTTTTTTCCATCCTCCTCACTGTATATGGGGAGAGTATAGACATGCATTCTTTTCTCAGCAGATTCTTAATATCTCCAGTTGTTTTAAGCTTCTTAATTATTTCCCTGATGGTAAAAAAAGGGCCTTTTCAACTGTTCAGCTATTTTCTTGTGGCCGTTTCCTGATGTGTGCAGCTCAAGAACCTTTTGTCATAGTTCATTGCTGTTTTCTCTGGTCTTTCTCATAGTGATGGATGACTGAGGGAATTTAGTCTGTTTTTCATCCTATATGTTTTCCCCAGTGAATAATTACCATTTAAGTGTTTCTAATCACTCACGTGAACTTAAAAATATAAAATATGAATTTGAATATACTTCACTTAGTTTTCACGTTTAAGAATTTCAACAATTGTGGCACAGATTTAAGAAAAATATTTTTTTATGATGAAATTTGGTTTATCATTATACTTTAAAGAAATGTTAGATTGTTGCTAATTTTTGAAAGAAATAAAAAAGAATAAGTAATTAAGAATAATTATTTCATTCTGCTCATATTTATTCATTTTGCTCATGATTACTAGGGGTGCCAATATCTGTGGAGGGCATTGTGTGACAGCACTTTTGCCTCACCCAGTGACACTAAAGTTATAATACAGGGCAGAACAGAGGTCATTTACATGCATCAGTCTTAAATGCACAGTAACAAAAACAGCTCGTTTAATTCCTAGGGATAAAGGTTTACGAAAATGGAATACAACTGTTTTTGGTACATATAACCACATAAACATTGTAAGTAAAATGTAGGATATGGGCCCTTTAATGAATCCATTAATCTGGGTAGCACTGGCAGGGTGTGTACTCCTGTCTGTCCTGAATGAACCATCAGAAATGCCCACCTCCTAATTTGAGAGTTTAAAGGCAAGTCATCATTATTTTCAGCACAGAGAGAGGCTCACATCACGTGGCCACGTATATGGGGACTACTAGTTTTACAAATGCCTATTTAACATGACATATTAAACGGGCATCATGTCGACTGATGGGAACTGGTTCGGTGGAGGACTTCTGGTTGCTGACCATACTTGCTGCCCTGAGGGGTCAAAGTACATATTTTTAATTGTCAATTTCTTATAAACACTGCATTAATAAATGAAAAAACGTATTCGTGTTACATGATTTAGCGGGGTACGTACGGTTGCTGGATCATCCTGTGTTTGTAACTCGTTGTCTTGATGGTTTAAAGCAGCCAGACAGCTTTTCCGCCAAATAGGAAAGCCCTGAGATCAGACACAGTTGCCATTCCGACCAGGTTAATGCATTTTTTTTCCAATTTATATAATGGTTGTATTGAGTTATCACAGTTCATAGAGTTCACAATGCAACAGAATAAGAAAACTAGGATCAAGAAATCAACAGAAATCTTTTCAGTAGTGTTTTTTTTTTTTAATCTGAATGCATATTTGCATTGTTCTTTTCCCCCCAGCCCTGGTTGGTGCCAGCCTGCCACAGCAACTGATGCTTGGAGTAAAATGATACGAGCAGTGTTGGGTTTCCATATTTTAAATGTTTAAAGGTTAAAAGTATCGAGGAAAACAGAAGAAACGCTTGTATTTTAACTGTTATCATTTCACATAAGTACTTACATAACCTATTGCAGGTCCCCCATTCAAGCTTGAATAAATAAGCCAGTTCCACAAGTGAACAGACAGGAAGGTTAAAAGAATATTTTACCTCTGAATATTAATCAGAACAGCATGGTTGCTGTCCAGTTGTTCTTATTTATGCAGCTTTTCAGATATTCCTTTTACTTCTGTTCTGTTTGGCAGTGAAGTGGAGCTGTACAGAGCTTCAAATGACAACTCTTTCCTAAAAATCTGGGATTGATTACACTAGCCTAAATACCAGGCTGTCATTTTTTTTTCTCCCGTTCGACTTGTTTGGTCTGGGTACGGGACTAGGCGTTTTACCCGGTGTTATCACACACTACATTTTCGTTTTGTTCAATAACCTCGGCGTTTGGCAGGTAAGTCAAAGTGAAATAAATTGTAGAGCATCTTTCTAAAGAATATGTAAAACTGAAATCTGTTTGTCTTGCATAATTAATTATGTGGGAATGCTACGTAGCATAATCAGTTTAGCTTCCTTGCTAGTTAGCTTAGCTCTGTTTTTAGCGAGTGTAAGTGAAGCGAGATACTTTGTGGTTGCGAAAAAAACGTTACATATTGGACAAGCTGAAAGAGCTGTCGTGGCTTAAATAGCTACCTTTAAGGCTTGTAACTTAGATTTTACACGAGCTTATATGTTTTTAGTTAGGGCTAAGTTAGTTATGGCATGTATGTTCTCCATATGGACTGTAACTTGGGCTGTTATAGCTAGCGTTAGCGCGAGATAAATCGTTTACAGCAAACCAGTGCCTGCCTACTTAGAAATTACTGTTTGAATTATTACCTTATGATAAAGCTAAAGGAATCCTTTAGACAAACAACTACATTTGTTGACATGGATATCTGAGCAGGTCAGATTCTTCAGGAAGAATTTAAACTGGTAGCGTTAGGTAGCTAACGTTACTTTTATAATCAACTGCTAGGAACTGCTTCTAATCAACTGGTCGCAAGAGTGTTTAAACTTGAGCTGCCACTGCTTAATTTAGAAAGAGAAAAAGATGTGGACGATGAATGTCATCACTAGCTTAAGTTGGTAAGTTTCAAATTGTTTCCTGCATTACACCGCGATCCTTACTGTAATGCCCTGAGATATAGTGATCCTGACTGTAAACATGTGTATTTGTATATTGAAATGAAAAGATCTTTCGCCGTCAATACACATATGTCTTTGGTCTGCAGTGGAACAAAACAAACATAAAAAAGTTCCCTGTACAATATTATTGGTATTTTAGAATTTTTAAGGAATAATTGTATTCTATTTAAGAGCTTTTAAAAAAAGAACACTGCTCCTTCTATGAAACATGGATGAGGCTCACTAATGTATTGGGGTTGCTTTGCTGCCTCTGGTGGTTTAAATATGTGCAGGGCACAATGAAATCAGAAGGCCACAAATCCATCTTTGAGCACAATATACAGGCCAGTGGCAGAAAGCTTTGTCTCAGTTGCACGTTGTAGGTCCTCCAGGAGGATAATGATCTAAAATGTACCTCAAAAACCACCCAATAATGGCTAAAAAACAAAACATTGCACCATTCTGTAACAGCCTGCTGTAAGTCCCGATCTGAAACCAACTGAAAATATGTGGAAAGACCTGAAACTTCTAACTAGAGCAGGGCACCCTTAAACCTGAGAGAACTGGAGCAGTTTACTTAAGAAGAATGGGCCAGACTACCAGTTGAGAAGTGTAGAAATCTCATTCAGAGTTACAGAAAAAGCTTCATTGCAGTGTTTGTCTGAAGACTGTGCTACAGTATATTAGGTTAAGAGTAGATATGTGTATTTTCAATTTCTTCTTTCTGTACCATAATAGACAGAACCTGCAGGAAGTTTCCTTTCTGGTTTCTTTATGCTTTCACAATACTGTATAAGATTCCGTTTTGGAATCAGGTTTGTTAGACATCTGTTTAGCATAGCATGCCAGTTCTTAAGATACCACGATCTATTTGGAAAATGTTGTGATATTGAATTCTATCATTCTGCACTAATGGGTAACAACATTCATGTTGTTCACTCAGGATGTTAGGATGGCGAGTGGCCCTGGCCTGCCAGACAGCCTGGTGCTGGAGATCTTCCTGCATCTCCCTCATGCTGCAGTGTTAAATGCTGGCCTGACTTGCCGGCAGTGGTTTGCTGTATCTCGAGATGAGTTCTTGTGGAGGGAGCTATTCTACAGCTACTACCGCATCCCACGCTCTGTGCCCCGCCACCCAGGTACTAACATGCTGCCAGAGATAATATGTTGCCTTTGCGTTCATGTTGCCACTGTACGTTATGGATATGAGAAAATTATAATGAGAGAGTCCTTTGAGTAATTTCTCAGGGCTTTGTTAGCTGCTACAATGAGATTAATTCCACCAACACTTCAAAACTTCTGCCAATTCAGTCGTTAAGATATAGAGTGGTTTGATGTGAAATGCTGTGTTATAAGGCAAGTAGTCCCCAAAGGCATCATATTTTTTCAGATTGACCACAGTTTGGCTTTTATGAACATTACATATAATGCTGACCGACAGAAGATACAGATAGGTTTACTGGTTTTTGATAGTAAATAAAATGGCTATATTTGCGCTGTAGACATCCCTGATTCTTATCACCACCCTTGTAAAAAAAATCACTCTAAATCACTGTAAAAAGTTATTAAGTTTATCTACAATTCAATCAGTGGAAATTCCCCTTCAATGTTACCATGCTCTTGTGGTTATTATTTTACTTTTGGGTTCAGTGAAGATCAAACATTGAGAGGGAACCAGTAGCAACACCCAAACTGTGTAAACCACATATGTATATTAGGAAAAAATAATACTAAAAGTTTACATACACAAACAGACAGTGAAGCCAAATGAAACTATAAGTACCATCATGAATTCTTTCCATAAACTGCTTTCCTCCATAAACTGCTTTTCTGTAAAGCTGCTTTGAGACAACACTAGTTGTAAAAAGCACTATACAAATAAATGTTGTTGTTGTTGTTGTTGTTGTTGTTGAATTTGTTCACTGATCGTTGTGATACTCAATGTATATTTGCTCCTGGCAGCGGCTGTGTCGTGGTGCAGGGAGTTTAAAAGGCTGTACGATTGCATCCCCTGCGTAGAGGTGCAGACACTGAAGGAGCACCATGACCAAGTCCTGCACCTGGCATTTTCTCACCGTGGACACCGCTTCTCCTCCTGCTCCAAAGACTGCACTGTCAAGGTGAAATTTTCCCTCTGCTTATTGTAGCACCCTGACATCCCTAAGTCTCAGCACTAAGCTGCATGGGTCATGAGCACAGGATCCAAACATTGGTAACAACAGTTTGTATATGATAACTACTAATATACGTTGTTACAATCACATGACTGAGTAAGCACTGTTGTAAAAATACCTATATGTGGCACATACACATAGAAAGAACTGTCCATAAACAAGTTAGCAGACATTTTTCAGTGAACTGTTATTGTAATGTTGTTTAAAGCAGAGCTTAGTTCACTGAAAACAATTCTGAGTACTCTTGCATCCTGCTTTCAAAAGCAAGCCCATAACTTGATGGAGTTTCACCCCAGACAGGAATCATTTTGAATCGTCTTGCAAGGCCATTCAAGAAGTATATAGTTCTACTTTACAGATTACCTAGTACCTAATGACACCAATAGCTGAGAGGGACCTAATAACATTTTATCTCTGTTGTGGCAGCTCTGGGACACAGAGCGGCCAGATGGAACTATCTCTTTGGTTCACAGCTCCAGCATGCGGCAGTTTAACTGGGGCTACACGCAGTTCTCCCAGTTCAACTGTGACGACACCCTGCTGCTGGTGTCAGGAGTCTACCTCGGGCCGCACCACTCCTCCTCTGGAGAGATTGCTGTGATTAGTTTAGGTAAGAAACACTCACACTAGACCAGGCTGGTCAAGCTGAGTTCCTTCCAGGCCGCAACTTTGCAGGGATTAGTGTTTTCCTTGTCCTAACACTTGCTAATTAGCTAATGAGTTGAATCATGAGGCAGAATGCTAAACTCTGAAGAGTTAGAGCCCATAAGGAACTCAGATTGACATCCCTGATGTAGACTTTTCTAGTACAAGTTTACCCTTACAGTAGATAAGTGGTAATGCTAAAATCCTGCCATGATGCCAGTTAACAGATGAAACACCACACCTGGCTCTTTTCCAATAATATTTACCGTGGCCGTATAGTGCCAGGGGCAGTGCGTCAGCATGAAACTGGTTGCGGTTTCTTTTCCATCTGTTGTGCTGCAAAGAGGATGTATACCAAATGAGTCACCTGTAACCCTTGTATGTGATGTCACTGAGGCTGTATCATTCCATGACTTACTGCAAACTTCCTCAGGGATCTGGATCTTCTTGCTCCCTCCAATTGACCAGGAACCTTGGTGCTTATCCACTACATACTAAACCACAGTTATATTCATAAGTAGCGTAATTTTTCAAATCTCCTGACCACGAAGGACTGTACGTACTGAGTGGATGACTTGTGCCTACGACCCCATGATGTAGGACAGGACAGCCAGCATCAGGTCTGATGACACTCCCACACTGACATTATAGAATCAAGAAAAGGTGCTACGTGTAGGCCATGTGGCTGCTGCACAGATGTCAATGATAGGAACCTATTTAAAGGCAGCCCAGGACATAGGTACTCCACTGTTGGAGTGGCCAGTAGCAGGCGCAGGCAGTGGACAGTTGGCAGCTCCATAAGCCAGCTCAGTCATCTCCTCCAGCCAGTGTAAAAGATGCTGCTTTGAGGGCAGAGAGCACCATTTAGCTTTCAAAAAGCATATAAACACTTGGTCTGTCTTCTGCACCTTCACAGCTTACTTAATTGCCCTGACAGGACATAAGAGCTGTCTCTTGAGCTCTGACTCGCCAGGCTGTTGGACTGGTTAAGAAACCCAGGACTGAGAACTTTCATCAGAAAAGTCAGGTTCGGCCTCTGTTTCACATTCGCATCACCTGGACCCCACTGGAGACACAGGAGGATAATATGTGTAGATCACATACTCGCTTTGCTGTTGCCACAGGTTTTCTGTGACAGCCACTCACGAGCAGCTTGCTTCAAGGGTTTAAACGGAGCACTGCATGTGTAGTCGAGTACCATGGGGAGCTCCCAGGGTGGTGGGCGGGTTGAGCAGGACAGGTGAAGTCTCCATGCCCCTTTCAAGAAGGCCACAGTCGGCTTGTATCTGCTCAGAGCCAGATGGCAAGTAAGGGCAGCAACACAGACTTTTGAAGTAAAGGAGACCCCCCTCTCCAGTAGCTCTTTGAGCTTCGGCCTACAAACACCTGTCACTTGTCCTCAAATGAGGCACGGGTTGAAAGTGCTCTAGCATTCGGAATCGTATTTTCGACTCCAGGAGAGCACAGTAACAGATCTGAGGAGGCCCTAAGGTCCATAGCCACAGCTGGAGAAACTCCAGTCATGGATACCACATGTGGCCCCCTAGTTGGGAAAGAAGGTCCTCTGCTTCCACTATAGAAGAGAGCATTTGGCCCACCGTGCTCATTCTGGGTTTATGCAGGCCAGGTTGAAAGGTGGCTGTAAACTCAGCAATAAAATCAAAACAAGCATGGATAATTTCTCCTTGGTAGTAATGCATTTGAAAAAGGTGCTGGTCCTTGGCATCTCGCCCACCAGGGTGTCCAGCACAAGCTTAGCCAAGGCAATATTTACAGCATTGTATGTAACGTTGCCATAGAAACCCAGCCCGTCCCATGATAGAGAGGCAGATTGAGCCTCTGAAGTAAGCCAAGTGCCTCTTAATGAGCCCTTAGCCTGGGCAGAATCCTAATTTTTGGGACTTTAGTTGCCAGTCTGTACTGTGGTGTGTGTATCTAAGCTACTATTAGCTTAGCTTAGCTAGCAGGTCACAGATTCAGGTTGAATTTCGGCTTTCTGTCCCTCCGACACAAGTCACTTGACTTTGCCCCCTCAGATTTCAATCACTGTCATCTAAAGTTCTGTCAGTGTTGCTTCAGTTAGGTAGAATCAAACCTGTTCTGTGGTGAGCAGAACTGTTATCATGATAGCTAAGCCTAGCTAACCTTGCCCAGAAACCGCACTGAGCACGGTTTGTAAGAGTTTCGTGCTGAACTGTGTCCATGTTGAAGTGCTGCTGGAATGGTTACTCTCAATGCTCAGAACATTTCGGCCCTACATTGTCGGCCTGTGCAAAGGTTATTGTGCGAAAGATTTACCAGAAATGATAGGAAGCTCTTTTTGTTTAATACATGTACAAACTCATTTTAAAAGTTAAAATTTGAACTGATTGTTTGGCCCACAGAGAACTACACGCTGCTATCTAGAGTGAGGAATAAACCCTACGACGTGTTTGGCTGCTGGCTGAACGAGACTCATCTGATCTCTGGGAACCTGCACTGGATCGGCAACATGACCTCCTGTACCGTGCTTTGGCTCAACAAAGCTTTCCAGGTGTGGCCTGGTGGAAAAAGTTTTTTTATTCTGAATCAATGAATATGAAGTCTTACACATTAGCTTTTTCAGCTAATTCTCTCTTTCTCACCAGGACATTGAGTCAGAGAATGTCAACGTGGTGAAGCGGCTGTTCAAGATCCAGAACGTCAATGCCAGCACCATCCGCACAGTGATGGTGGCCCACTGTCACCGGCACGACTCACCCGACCTGCTGCTGGACTATGAGGCCCAGTCACAGGCCAGAGCCCTGGCCCAGGAGCATGGGGACTCTCGCCAGCATCAGCCTCTGCTTTTCGACCTGGGAGCCTCTGACAGTGAGGATGAAGATGACGAGGAAGATGAAGAAGACAAGCGAGGGGAGATGAGGTGTTCTGCGCACGTTCCCCATTTCAGCTCGTCTGGACTGGAGCACATCAGACATGTAAGGATTTTTGTTGGCATGAATGCTATGACTGTCCACTCTTTTTAAAAGTTTTGAAGCAAAAAGACGTGGTGTCTGAGTAACAACAACTTTGAGTTTGTACAGTGCAGTGTGTGCAGGTTCCCAAACAAAACTCCTAAACACAGTGTCTTTTGTTCTGAGAACTCCTTCTGTGTGCAGTTTGGTCCAAATAGCACATAGTTGCTTGTAGGAGTGTAAATATAGCCAGAATTTGATACGATATGGTGGAGCTTGATACAATACAGCAAATGACTGCCTGAATATGTGCCTTGTGCTCATATGTTAATGTTAATACGTTGTTTGCACCTGATATGGACACAGTTACGTGAGTATTGGTAAATCGTTCAAGGAGTCAGTATTCAATTACTGAAATCAGTTTTGCACATATTTCCTGCTGATTTTTTAAGCAACACCAGCTCTGTCATCTAAAACGTAAGCATACAGCCCTGCAGTAATGTTGTCCAAAGTTTCTTTTTTTTGTGTGTGTGTGTGTGTGTTAAGTTTTCTTATAAACACTAAAATATCAAAATACACATCCCTAGTTTGCACGCATGCATCATTATGCCCTTAGTGTGCCTGCATGTAAGCTTTGTGCGTGGTGCAAACTAGGGATATTTTGTTTGTTAAAAATGTTATTGATTCTACAGAGCTCTAATTACATACTATAAGGTTAGTTTGGTTCAGGGAAATTAAAGGTCTTGAAATTTTTTTCAGTGCCTGTTGCATCACTCTCTAACAAAATACACCCCAAAAATAACAACCCCTACAATGTATAATAAGCCCCTACAACTTACAAAGCCAAGTTATTGTGTGGGAGCATACCATAATTTTTCAATATGTATTGAAATTGTTACACCCTCAGTTGCTTGTGTCACAGCATGAATGGGTAGTTGTTCGATTTCAAGTTACTTTGTTTATGTAAGCGGTTGTGGAAGCAGCAGCATGAACAAGTTTGAGGGAAAACTTGGGGTACATGGTTATTCACATCTGTGCGTTAGGGCCAGAAAAGAATTAAAAAATGTTGAAATGTGCGTGATGAGTCAGCTGACGGCTCCTTTCTATTCACTGCCGCTAGTGGTGTGGAATGTCCTACTAGTTGTTATAGCGTTTCGTTTTTTGTTAAGTTCTTTCATTCCTTGAAGTATACAGAAATCTTGAATAGTCCTCTAACTAATGTGTAATGTGATTATCGTTCACATTTATTTATTTGTTTTTATGTGATTACCTATTAACAAATGACATTAAAACTGTAGGTACTTCTATAAACAGAAGATTAGCTAGGGCGTCTATCATTTTACTGTGTTGTTCATACAATGCACTGGGTACTGAAGAGCGAGACAGATGGCAACATGTGTTTAATGTTTAATGCAGTTCTTTTCTGTTTTCTCCTGTAAACTTTTTGTGTGGTGTATTCTGGTCCTCAGGGTCTTCAGAGTGCAGGAGCTCAGGAGCTGGAGCTGGAGGCGCAGGTAGCTAGGCTGATGGGAAGGAGGCGCACTAAAGCTCCAGATCCAAATCTAGTGACTCCCTCTGCCCCTGGGGAAGGAGAGGATAAAACCTATCTGCTGTTCACTACTGGCAGCCTTACCTACTCACCTCACCAGATAGGTTGTGTTTTTGTTTATTATAGCACTAACAGCAGCTAACCTCTACTTTTTATTGGAGATGCACCGATATGGAATTTCTGGGCCAGTATGATAGCTGATAGAAATATTGTGGCTGATACCAATATCATAAATTAATAATCATAAATAAATTAATGTCAATTAATTATTTTAATTTGACCGATTATTTTAGTGTTTTGCCTATTTGCCTATTTTACCGTACAGATAATTTGCATTTAGCAGGATCATCTACACTAGAAGATTCAACACCCTAATTCCCACATGTGAACATAATTAAACCTTTAAACATGTTGGGTGATGTGATATCCTACATTAAAAATACTTTTATTGTACTGATCATAGATTGTTTGAGCAAAGCTTTTACTTTTTTGGTGATAGGTGTGGCAGGCAGATAGTCTGGAAAAAAGCCGTCCGTACCTTTTTTACATTCACGGTGTCAGGTTTCAGGCATTAGACAAATGGACTTCTGGTCTTGCAGGAAAAACATGAGTAAAATCATGTCTCATCTCTCGTACATCAAGTGAAAAGGATCATTTTAAACAGCCCTCATGCAAAATGGCTTTAAAGACGAAGGCGTCAGGCTAAGCTAAGCTGCCTCGGACGGCAAAGTGTGACATATGCACACTAATTTTTTACTACTGCTCGATTTTACTGCATTAATTACAGTTTTGTGGGCAAATTAAAGGTGACTTTAAGCTACAACCACAACTTTTGCTCAACTGTGATATTATGTTCTTCTATTTTGGTGTACATTAAGCCTTAACTCATACAGTATCACTGGTTTCTCCCACATCCGCTTCAGTGTAAAGAACTGTCGCAAAATGATTGGACAAAAGGGTGAAGCAAATCGCCCAACCTAGTTTAAACATTTACCACGGTTATGTTTTAAACAGTTACCTATTTAAGAGGACTGAGGAAATGGCACAGGCCTAGCTATAGTGTGTTTCAGGAGAAAAGTGAAGAAGTTTGCTTTAGTGTGTTTGAGGTTGAGTCGAGAGGGACAGGGTTGCGAACGCCATCCTACACTTACTAAAGGGGTTGCAGCTCAAAATGGTTGAGAACCAGGTGGAGTTAGAACAAGCAAGAGCAGAGGATTGAAAATGAGAGTTGGATAGTTAGACATGGTCACTAACTTGAATTTTATGTGCCCTGTGTGCGTCAGGTATCAAGCGGATCATGCCCGATCAGATGACCACGTGTGGGCCAGTGCTGGGGGAGGAGCGCAGCAGTGAGGAGTTCTTTGATTCCCTGGATCATGTGATTGACATTCACGGCCACATCATCGGCATGGGCCTGTCGCCAGACCACAGGTGGGGGTGTCAGACATCTGCAGAGACAGCTAATAAAACAAAAGAGGCATTTATCACACTAAATAATGTCCCCATTCATTTCAGAAACTTTTAACAGTGGGGGCTAAATTTTTACAGCACATTACCTACATTGTCTAATGTAAATTATAACAATTCTGTTCACTTCTTCGGTTTAGTAATTTTGGTATGCTTTGGAACACTTAATCGGTAGCTTAACCCTCAGTATTATTAGTGATTCTTAAAATAACTTTGTGTATCTTGAAGAAAAAAAAATGACCTAGGACACTATGGCAATGGTTACATATTATTGGCATATAGACCATAAAAACAATAAGGTGTTTTTTTTTTTTTTCTTAATTTTGGATGTCTTTATTTAGAAAATATAATATAAAATAGCTTCATTAAAAAAATGAGCTTGACTGTAATCTTAATGTCATAACTGATAATAATAATCCAAAATTGATGCAGGTGAATTGACTCCTTCAGATGCATTTTACACCGTATTTTCTAACACATAATTTGGTTTAAACAGGTACCTTTATGTGAACAGTCGTGCATGGCCGGCAGGCTGTGTGATTTCAGACCCCATGTCCCCTCCACCCATAGCTGAGGAGATTGACCTGCACGTGATTGACCTGAAGAGCCTGCGGGAGGAGCGCCGCAGTCTTCGCGCTCACCGGGCTTTCACCCCTAACGACGAGTGCTTCTTCATTTTCCTTGACGTCAGCCGTGACTTCGTGGCCAGGTAAACAATGCTCCACTTCTATACATCTGGACTGGACAATTTGCTTGAGCTCAAGCAATACAAGTGACAGTGATTTGATCAGTCTCTCCAGATATTTTGAGTGAAATTCCACTAAAACACTACTAAGGAACATTAGTATAACCTGATAAAGTATTTATTAATAATTGAGGCTGAAACAAACTTAACAGTAGTGCAAACATGTAGGGGTCATATTCCCAAGATGTCCTTATTTAGGAACAAATTCTATGAGGCCTAACCCTTTTCTCGAAGAACATGAGAGTCCTACTTTACCTGTCTTGAATCTCATAAGAAAAACCTACAATGGATTTAAATCAGCAAGTTATTCCATATATCACCGGCAAAGTACATCAGAAGTCTTGGCCAGCTGCATAGCTTTACACTCAGTATTACAAGTAAGTTCCATTGAAATTCCTAAAATAACTTTTGTGTGTCTTGTTCCAGCACAACCACATGTGGCAGCCTTAATCAATTTTGGGGGCAAGTTTTGCTCATATAAAAACACTAAAATAAGTGTTCATGTCTTTGAAGAAAACAAGTTGAAGTAGAGGCCACACTGTCTTGCACATTGGATTGCTCACCAAATGCTCCTGAACCAAACATTCAAGGAGAGAGAAAAGAGAATTTCTCAAGTGGCCTGAACTTCAGTGTGTTTCATTGTAAAATGTGGACTTTCTTAACATTTACATTAACTAAAAATCCACCATAATAAGCACTTTAACAAGTTTCTTATTGTCAAATACCAAAGTTTCCATCCAGAGCCCTTTTTAGAGCAACAAGCAACATAACCATAAAACTAAGGGTTTTAAGGTTGATCTGTACTTCTGCAAAGGTGCTGTAAAAATGTTTGCATGGAGACACTAAGGATTTATGGAGAATGGTAGTGTGCAAAGAATTGGACATGTACACCTCCAAAATCTCAATTGCGTGGCATGTCAATTGGTGGTGGTGGTGTGCTTCAAGCAAGTGCTGATTGCGCAGGGAAGTATGTATAATAGCCTTGGGTATGGATGAACGCAGTGTAAAATTGTCTCAAACTTCCCTCAAGTGCAGTGTAAACAACTGCATTCTTCTTTATTGCTTACGATAATTTACTTCTGTTTCTTACCTAATAACACAGAACTTGTGAACTGCCGGTAGATGAGGTTAGACCAATCAGATGAACAACCAGTTACCCACATGATGCCTACATGACTACGCAGTTACAACTAACTGGCTGTGTGACTCTTCCTAGCATGAATCCAGAAAGAGTGGACATGCTGGTCTTGTTGACAGAAAAACAGACGTGGATCTTAATTTATAAAAAATAATTGCAGTTTAAATTGCAGTGACAATGTTGGTTTGAAAAATCATAATTCGATATTTTCCCCAAATAATTTAGTCCTATATGCAGATGTGTTTGCAGATACCTATGCTAGTGATGCCTGCACATGTCTGCAGACCCGCAGGCACAGAGGTGCAGTCGGACTCATACTCCCTCTGTTTCTTCTCCAGCGGTGCTGAAGACAAGCACGGCTACATCTGGGACCGCCACTACAACATCTGCCTAGCTCGCTTGCAGCATGATGATGTGGTCAACTCAGTGGCCTTCAGCCCTGCCGACCAGGAACTCCTGCTGTCAGCCAGTGATGACTCTACCATCAAAGTGTGGCGTTCTCCACGCATGGTGCGCCTGGCCCAGAGCCCCCCACGGCCCGCTAGGCCCCGCAACCTCCTCTCCTCCCTGCTGGCTCGCAGGAGTGCTAATGCTAACGTGAATGGCAAGCCCTGAATGGGGACCTGACGTTATGCAAGGAAACACACAGTGGACATGACTGTAAAACACTCCAGAAACTGTAGCATGTGAGATCAAAGAACTAGATGGACGACGAGGAAGAAACAGCAGGGAGGTGAGTGTAGGAGTGTGTGTATGCATGTGCACACACTGGGATTCCTGTTACACTTGGGCCTGTTGGAAAAGAGGGGCAGACAAAGCTTTTCATATATGAGTTTATGAGACAGAATGCTCTTGTGCTGCCATTTTGTTTCAATGAGAATTTGTCAGATTTCAGTTTGATGAATACACCACAGGAACATCTATGGTTTTTTTAGACACAAAGGCACAAAATGTCTTTATTTTTTGAAGGACAAGACACTTGAAAAACTTTAATATAGGCATGTATCACATTAGGTTCATAAAAGCTTGAAAGCTTGTCATGTTGAGCTGGAGCCCAGCTATTCATGTCTTTTTAAAATGTTGACAGTTGATATTAATACAGAGTGATAAAGAATTTTGAAACATAAAACCAAGAATTTGCATCAAAACCATTTTTGTCCCATAAGCTACCAAGAGTACAATGATTGAGCTCTTAACTGATGGCGTTGTAGTTTTAACCACAAGTAATAGCAATCAAACAGTACTGTTTCTGCTGTATTTGAAGATCGAAAGCTTCAAACAAATAGCTATAAAATCAAAGCGACATACAGTGAATGCCTTCATTGTGAATTTCTTTATTAAATTGTGTCCTTTATTTCTTTATTAACTCATTTGTGTCCACTGCCTGGCGCAAATTACTTCATTTCAAGTTGTGCACCTTAGCACTTGTCTGAAAGAAACCCATCCTGCAAGTGTACAATCAAACCACTAATACACTGGAATGCTTGCAGGAAAGCATTCAGAATGTGTTTTATACGAGTTCTTAAGCATATTAGCATTTTTGTCTAAAGGCAAATGCAGCATACTTCAGTGTAATTGTCACTATCATGACTGAATAACAGTCGACTTGCACAGGATGGTGGGATGGTGGTTTTAATGCGACCCTTTTGAAGGAGATGAAACATCAAATCCACTGCTTTAGCATCTTGCTAGCATCGGTGTATTTGAGGAACTTTGTTGTTTTGAAACTGTGCTAACCCCTTCAGTACTGCATTGCTGTAGCTCATTATGCCATATTACTTTGTTTTCATATTTGACACCTATTGGACTCCCTCGCATCCCTTTGCCATTATGCATCTTCCATAATATTATCATAGCATTTACCATGTAGTGTATTTTTATTTACCAAGAATTCTTAAAACCCCATAATATTCAGTAAGAAACAGATTGACACCCATCTTTCAAATGTTTCTGCAAGCTTACTGTTCATGGTGGAAGGTTGGATCCTTTCATGCTTTTTTGTAATAGATGAATATTCATTTCAGTTTTGCCCCATTTTGGTGTTTTAAAGCATACCAAGCGCTTTAATGCATTCAAGCCCATGTAAACCTGCCAGAATGGATTGTGGTCTGGTATGATATGGTTTATCTGTATTGTGTGTCCTCTGCTGGTGCTGCTTGTAATGGATTTGTGTTCTTCAGCATGGTTGACTTTCTCACCTGGTCTTCTTTAACATGCATCATCAGTCTAGTATATATGAATGTTTACATGGTGATTCATTTGATTCATTAAAACTTTTCACATCTTAGAGTTATGCACTTCAACTTTTCAGTCTTCTTATTTGGAGATTTCATCTTGCCTGTCATTTGGCAGAAATATTTAGGCCGAGTTTATATCTGTTTTCATATTTGACACCTCCCTCACATCCCCATGCCTATATATATATATATATATATTTATACAAACATTTTTTGATTTGAAACCTTTATATAATACTATTATTTATATTCTTTTCCACTGACCAGAAAATAACAGAACACAATATACAAAATAAATGAAGCCTATTTCAAATCACAGTAAAACAAAGTAAAAGTCTTCATCATAAACATAAATACTTGTGTAAAGTGTTGAAATTAAGAGTTATTTAAACTGTTCAAGTTATTGTGCAATTTGAATTATATTTGTACGTTGTTGTGAGCAGGGCTTATGGTATTGATGCCATGGTAAAATTTCCCTTATTCGTTGAGTGCTCCCTTCTTGTCAAATAATGCCTTTAAGAAGAAAAAGAAGCAATTACAAGTAGAAAATTACATAGCAAAAAAATGAATACACACACTAGATGTGAAATGCTTTATTGATTGAGTTTTAGAAGTTAGAAAATTGTGCAATTCATATACATGCAATCATTAGAACAGGAAAGGAAGATAGCATTGACCAACAAGTACAGATGTGATCAAAACAAAAAGAAAATCTGAACCAAAGGGGTCTGTTGCTCCTAATTATGTTTTTAGTTTGTAAATGGTTGGGTGTCCTTACATAAATAAATGAGTGTTTTCTCTTCTGGAGAGTAATTTGTGGTTGAGCTTACTTGATAATTAACCATGTTTTTATAGTTAGCTGATAGTTAGCTCAATAACCCAACAAAAACTGGGCCTAATTATTAAGACTTGGATTCCATATTTCACATTTCAGTCAGAATTATTTTAAATAACGTAAGCTGTTTGCCCTGTGCACAATCGCCAGATAATTTAATCAACAAAACACTTTTAGTCACCTGTGTCAACAAATACACTTTGTACTGTTAGCAAACCAAAATGCAGATTAATTTTATAGGGGTTTGTGATCCATTACATTTTTGCATCATTCACTATTTTGCATCCATCTAATGGCCAAGCCCCTACAAAATTAGGACAACCCTTCCTAAAATAACAGAAGAGATCAGGAACAGAAGGTGGAAAAGGGCATTTTGCTTGTTTGTCAACAGCACTGAGCATTTGGTAAACATTCTTACTACTTTTGTTAATTTTGTCTACATTGCTACATTTCTGAAAAAATTGCTTCCTCCAAAAACAATCTCAGTATCTTTTAGGGTCTTCAAATAGCACTTTTTTTTATATTTACTTTCATAAAAGACAAAGAAGAACGCAATCAGCAATCATGCTAAAGCAAAACGACCACACTACCTCAATACACATAAAAGAAATGCTTAAAAGGTGATAGAAACCAGACCTCCAAAAGGGTTAAAGGCTCTAAAAGCTCACAAAGTTATTAGATGAAATGGTTACAGATATATTGCCTGATGCCTGAGACTTTGTTTTACACTAGTTTTGAGAAAGTTTCATTTTTTTCCCCCAACACCATTCATTGTGGAGAGGTACATTCTGGGTGAAAGAAAACTTTTTTCTCTAGATTTAGATCACTATTTTGCAACATAAACATTCCATATAAAAGTCACAAGACATGTATAGGTTCACTGGTGGTTTGGGATAGTAAATAAAATTGCTACATTTGCACTGGAGAATTTGTGTTTGTTTATAGAAACTTCTTATCTTTTGTCTTAAAATCTTATCTCAAGTTAGGAAATCTTAACTTACTCGATTGAAGTCGACAATCAACTGTCATGTCTGTTACGTAGCAACTGACCATACAAGCACAGCCAAAACGTAAATGCGTACTCAAAATAAACTAGTTAGCCAGACAGCTAGCTACTGTTGCCGATGTAAACAAAGAAAGGTAAAACAAAACTAAAGCACAATAAACTGGAAGTTTAGAATATGGTGACCACGCTTCATAGCCTTTTATCAAATCACCGCCGAGACTTAAGAAGTTTCTGTAATACAGCTCCTGGTTTCTGTCACCAGATAGGAAAGAAAATTCAAGTTAATAGTTTGTCTACAAGCATTTCACTTCAAATCACTAATTGCTCTCATTGCTTACATCTCAGTTACTAAATTATGGAGATATTTATGTAGAAAATCGGTGGAATTCCCCTTTAAGGTCAGGAATGTTTAGTGATAATTCGAATATTATGAATATCTCAAAAATACATGCAATCAACAATAACACTGTTAACATTCAGATATCACTTGCCACTGCACGATATATGAAATATTATTTGTTGAAATCACTGTAAAATAAGGGAGTAAGTCTCAAGCCCTGCGATGATTTAACTTGTTTATTCAGGTAACATTTCACTTTTTTGCTCAGTTGAGGGTTACTTTTGTGTGTATATACACACACACACATGCAGTGCACCAAGTTATTTGGGGATTTTTTTGAAGTTTGAAAGTATTGCAAGAATTTGTGCCCAAAAAATGCATGGTTTATTATAATATTAATTCTTTTTTTCCTCTCTTTTTTTGTTGGGTTTTGAATTTTCAAAGCATAAACGCATAAAGAAAAATACTATTGATCCTCACTTTGCAAAATCACTGATCGATACGCTGATGCTTTTTTTTTATTTTAACACATGTAGCTTCTTGTTTTTACGGACAAAACAGTTTATCTGGGTCAGCGGGGGCACAGTGAAGAACAAAGTATACACACTCCATGTTCAATACATCTTCAGTACGTCTACAGGTATATAAGCATGGCTCTCCAACCTTCAAATAAGCATTAGTATAATATAGTATTAATCTTATATCTTAAGATTCAAATAAGCTTTGTTATGAATGTCTATGTTAAAGATGTTACTTATAGGGCTGCAAGTAATGACTACATTAATAATTGTGTTTTAGTTACTGTTTTCCAAACAAAAAGTTTTATCTTCAGCAATGCAAATAATTTCTTAAAATATGAATCTGCTAAAATGTACCAAAAAAGGTTATAGCCTGGTTAGCCTTCCTCCCAAAAAATTTTAATTTTGAAAAGGTTTTTATGCATATATTTCTAATACAACTGGCCTTTACTGTAAACCAACGCCACGGCTCTCGCTAGGACCTGTCAAATCGAGTAGTTCCTAGTCGTTCTTGCTAAGTGTGCTCAGCAACTTGAGAAACAAATGGCACAGATAACACCACCATTCATTCTATGAACTGCTGTCTCTTCAGGTGGTCATGCACCACTGTTTTTTTTTTAACTGTCTTCCTAGAAGACTACAGTGTAAAGTGCTCTTGCACTAGACAAGACTTTCGTCGTGCATCACTTTCCACAGGTGTAGCCGACATTTTTTAAACGTTTTCCCTGCATCAGTGAAGTTACATTGCTAGCTATGCAGCAGCCTAACTAATAGGTAAGGAAGTTTTGTCAGTGTCCTCAGTTACTTGTTAAAACCCTAGATTATTCAGGAAATAGTCCAAGCGCACAGTGATCTACTGATCTGTTGATAATGTATCCTACTTCTTCTACTACCACCTCCTCTTTTTACATCTATTATACTTAATATGTAATATTTAAGTAATCTTGAAATAGGTGACTGTATTTATTATTATTATTATTATTATTGTTATTACTATTATTATTTATTATTGTTATTGTTATCATTGTTCATATGAGTCATCACCTGATGTTGTACATGTACATTTAAATTTCTCATATTAAACTATCATTTTTTTATAATATAAATATCATTATATGGCTATATATATATATATATATATATATATATATATATATATATAAATATAAATATATATATAAATATATATATAAATATAAATATATATATATATATATATATATATATATATATATATATATATATATAAATATAAATATATATATAAATATATATATATATATAAATATATATATATATATATATATATATATATATATATATATATATATATATATATAAATATGAATATAAATATATATATATATATATATATATATAAATATATACACACACACACGTTTATACTTTCACCACAGCCTTTCACAGGCAGTTCTCAGATATTTCATATATTGCTATCTACATAGACGTCTTTTACATACTGTGTTATGGATGAGACGTATTAAATTAGAGAGCTGTTTTGTTTTTTGTTTTTTTTTAGCTTAAGGGGCTTAGTCCGATCAGGCTAATTAAAATCTTCAGGAGCACCTATACAGTCCTGATCATAGTTCAGGCAGATTGATTTTAATAAATATTTGTATTTCATACATATTTTGTTTCATAGCATGGTAAACAATGATGTGGTGCACGTGGTACTTAATGATGGTATATATATATATATAAATACACACACATACAAACATTATATAATGTATGTATATAATGTATGCATGTGTGTGTATTTATATTTATCATATGTGTGTATAAAAATGTATGTATGTATACACACACACACACGCACACACACACGCACACACACACAGTTTAGTCTGTTGCATCACTCATTACAGCCCAGTTAGATCTACTATTGCTTTAATGAAAATGGTATCATCTCGCAGATAGGAACTCTTGCCTGCCAACTTAGCTAGGGGGCAGAAGAGTGGGCAGCCACTGGCGATGTTCATCTCACTAATTGGTCTTTGAAAAGATGTGGAGCTGATGTCAGGTCTGAACGCATCGATGATGTGCTCACGGTTATTCTGGTCTAACAGCATCAGAGTTACCTGTGAGAGAAAAGGATTCTGTTACTTCCCCCTAATCAAACAGTGAGTTTACAACAGATGAGATAAACATAAGAAATCTCTACAAATACTTAAGTGATATCACAGGAAGGAGGAATGTGTAGTGATTATGTATTTTCACAAAGAGGAGCCTACAGAGTGAACTGCCAAATCAGTTGCAAACTATTGACCAGTCTCTAACAGAAGCTCTAGGAAATGTGAAGATGTCTTCCAGAATCGTCACCATACTGCTGTCGTAAGAAAACACATTATCTCTGAAACGGTAGCTTTAAAGTTAAGAATGTGTTTTCCTTCTATACTGTAATTTAACATAAGATTTTATTCCATGTAATTGTAGACCATTGCTGTTGGTTCATTTGTTATAAAATGTTCAGGTGGCATTAATACAGAAAAGTGACAGTTTGTACAGTACTGTGCAGACGTTTTAAGCGTCTGAGGAAAAACAGATTTAAAAAGCTATTTATCCAGGCAATAAGAATTTATTTGCTCAAAAAACACTAAAATTTGAATACATATAAATAACACTATTACGACAAGTAGTTATTTTATGTATGTCTGCGTGTTTAACCACTGCCAAACCTCCCCTCAAGGAACGCCAGTATTAAATAGTAGTTATCGTCCAATACCTGGTTTGGAGGATCAATACTTCATGTTAAATCAAGTTTGCTGGTGTTGGAATTTATCAAATCCCTGTGATGGCTGGCAACATTGAGGAGAAATCTGAAACTCTGTTTTTCAAACTAGTATACAAGATGTTAACAACTGCTTTGAAAAAAGAAATTCCTGTTTTTACCATATTTATGTTAATTTGTATTTATTCTATGACATATTGTGGTTTTTCAAGCATGTTCCCACTTTTCTTTCTCTGACCAGAAGTGAAGCACATTAACCAGACAGCAGTCCAAACAAATGTGAAAGAGATGGATGAAGTCAAAAGGTGAAGAATCTACAGTCACCTTTTGGCTGAAAGGCCACTTGAGCAGAGCGTCGTATTTTCCCCTCATCACCACGAAGAAGAGTGAGAGGTGTGTACCTCTGCCTGTGCCATCTCCGTTCAAATACAGCCTCAAACACATTTTATAGCCATACTTGCTGGAGTAGAAGGCTGAAACAGACAAAACAATCAGTCAGATTCCCTTCAGACTGAGAGACAAAGAGGCACTGAAGCACTACACATCATTTTAAAAGAGAAAGCTGTATATGTGAATGAAAGGGGAATTTAGTCCTTGAAGCAAACAGAAAGTGAAACTTTTAACATTTGCCACTGCTTTCGGATTTTGATCAAAAGATTGAAAATGAAACCTCAACTTTATAATTACGATCAACAGACTGGTTCATCAAAACACTAAAGCTAGGGTGGGTAATCCAAAATCAGTGATTTTGTGAATTTGATATTCTGCTTTTCACAAAGCAATCTTGAGTTAGAGGCCTGACCTCAGATCAGATTAATTCATATTGATTCTAGATTACTACGCCTACTTCTGAAGTGGGCTTATGGATGATTTCATTTATCAGATGTGACGTACAACACGCTTTACACTTTACACCTGTAGAAAATGGTGAACAAGGCAGTGAACGTGATTAAACATGTCAGTTTTTGTTACTGCATTAAGGGAAAAAGGGATATTTTATTAATTTAGCAAAGAAAAGTATGATAGTATGATTTCTTTTCTGTGTTCTGATGGTATCTTCAGACAAGAAGAGGGTTATGTTGCATTTTTAGTTAAAGATCTGCATGCACGACCCCGCTGATGAGCACCAGAATGCAGCATAAGAGCAAAGGTCATTTGGATGAAACTGTCTTGTAGCCTGTTTCCAACACTTACTGATTTAATCAGATCAGTGGAAATAATGAATACCTGTCTCAAGCTTACACATAAAGCGTTATATAGTTTTTCATTATATGCAACAAATTTCCAGGCTAACCTGGCACACCACCTTGGAGCTTAGGACAAATTAAACACAGTTTTAGGGCTGTTGTGATTACTTGACAAAACACGACTGAAAGTTTGATTACTTGATTAATGGTCAAAATGATCAGTAGATGTCTGTTACTTATATAAACGAGCCCTACCCCAGTTTCAGAACAACTGCGATAAATGGTAAACCCACCTGGTGAGAACATGGCGGGGGAACGGCCAGCTAGCGCGTCTTGCCTGCGACGAGAGAAATCGGATATTTTCCAAACGAACACACCGTCGTAAGTGCAGAACTGTAGTTCTCGTAGAGCCTGCTCAGATTCAGCCAGCTGCAAATCACGCATGGTCAGGGTTCGCTCTAGCTGACGCACCTGTCACACAGACACATAGGCCAAGGCAAGATTAGCTCAAGATCCAGACTATAATACAGAGCTCTCTGCACAATTCTGCAAAATCCTCTGCAAAACATTATTATTCTCTGAAATTGGCATTTTTAGCATGTATACTGGTCAGCTACAGAAAAGAGAGATGTAGCTCTGAAATACTTAAAATACACAAAAGGGGTAAAAAAGTGGTAACTAGAGTCTCTCTGAATCAATGTTTATTTTCTGGTTTGGGAGTACTTTTGTACTTGTCAAAACTCGCATCTACACTGCTGACACGTCTCTTTTTTTTCCCTCTGATGTTCAGTTTCTTTCCAGTTGTCTAGAGCAGAAAGCTCCTCACTGACTCCAGCACACCTTCATTAAAACACCTGACTCTCCTATTCTTTTTATTAATACAGTGGCAAGTTTTTTGCACAAGGATATGAAGCATAAAACCCCATCTGTGGGTATTTAAGGTGCACTCTGGCTACATCTGTTGTAAACATGCCTACTTGCCTTTTTCCAGCAGTACGATAGTAGTCTCTAAAGATTTCCTGGTTTAAAGACTAGGAAAAAACTCTTCTGATGAGGTGTCTTTAAGGTGGAAGTAATTTTTTTGAAAGACCACAAGTGCTTTGCGATGGGCATTTGGGGGGCTGTTAGATTTTTGTTTATTTTTTGTCTAGCTGGTTGGATTATTTCTTTAACAAAGAAAAACTTTGAATGGCTAATTAAGGTTAGTGCTATATCACTAATGCTAACTAGCATCACAGATATATTTATTAGCATCTAGATCAGTGGCTAGCAGTCAACATTTTTTGAGTGGCATCGGGATTCCCAAAGATTGTGATGTATTCGCGCAATGCATGCTGGGTACTGCAGTGAGAGAACAATGATGGACACAAAAATATGGAAACTATACACACTGTACAATACAAAATACTACAAAATATAACAAATACTAGTTTTAGGCTGGAATGCCCCTATAATGCTTTGAAGTAAGTGTCATGCAGGAGTTGCCTAAATGTTGTGTTCTACAAATAACTTGTGGAGTGAATGAAAGACCATCATCTGGCGTGAGCAAATGGGCATGAGCACTTGTCACTGAGGAAATTTCACTTTATTCCCTATAAATGACCATGACATAAAGCTGGATGGTTACCAATGATGGAACAGATGCTAACGGAGACGTGTCATCGTTAGTGTAGGCTCAGGTGGCTTTGCAGAGAACATGCAGTGAGCATCATAAATGGAATTATACTGATCAAACAGGTAATACAACAAAAAAATGGAAACACCTGTTATAACAAAGGATGAACAATGAAGGATGTATAAATTTATGGCAGAGACAGTAATGGCTTTTCTGCCACTCACGGAAAAATTCCCCCCCAAAAAAGTGCGTGCTGAATTTAAAAAACAAAATTCTGACTGAATGGAATCCATGGGTTCATCCGGTGCTGAGGGCCGACCATGAACTAATCCTAGCACATGGTCTTCTGCCGGTGTTTCAATTTTTTATTCTATACCTGTACCATTTATACCAGACCCTACATTCCAAAACGCTTAAACTGCTTTAACTGCTTAAACCATCTTTAATCGAATGTATTCCATTGGCATCGCTTTGAGTCATTACCTACGCGAAGATGTGGTGCCCTCTAAGGAATGGCCAAAAGGCACACGGAACATCAGCTGTGCGAAAAGAAAAAAACACTACAATAAACCTGGCTTAATGAACTGCTCTTCTATAATTTGGAGGCGTAGGGCATTTTCCGCTGCTGTGGAAAGGTCGTACCTTATTGGATAAGTTCTCGATCTTCTCCTGGTCCAACTGGTGCTGGCGCGTTAAAGCTTCCAGTCTGAGGGCGGTGCGTTCCACCTCTCGATTCAACACACACACTATGTTCTCCAGTGCTGTCATCTTCTGCTGCACACCGGGGCCTCCCGCTGCATTGTGGGCAGCAGCGTGGGCCCCTGGTGGAGCTGCATCTTCAGGTCCGCGGTACAGCCCAAGACCAGAGTCCTCCTGCCACTCTCCTGGCCCATCAGAGTGCAAGCGCACAGAAGACAGCACGGTCAGCATGAGCCGCAGGTGCTCAGTGATACTGCTCTGCTCGTGTTCGTGCTGTTTGCCATTGTCAACCTGCAGGGGTACAAACAGTTAATATTGCGTTTTTGTGGGTTTTACATACCAAATTACAGTCATAACACATTTGAACCTGACCATGACCAGTTTTCAACCTTTCTTTATCCCTTAGAATTACATAGGCTGTTACTATAAGACTAATAAACATAAATGACTTGTAATATCCTCATTAAAAAAAGCATATAAAAAGCAAGAACATGTAGCTTCTGAAGTCTAAATATTTATTCTGTGTAACTGCAGATATTTGTGTGCACACAATATGGATTTCACAGTACAAGCAATGTTAGATACTAAACATAGCTAGCAAATAAGGTGGCTAATAAGCCAATTTGGCCACTTGTATTTTTATAGTTGCACATGAAAAAGGAAAGACAATTGAATTATTCTTTACAATTATTTATATGACATTTAATCAAGGGTGGAAGAAATCCATGCTAACGCTACATATTCTCCTTCATGTTGCGCAAAAATGAATGGGCTATGAACATTTTAGCCATAAACACAGCATCAACCAATGGGGGGAACTGCAACTGGGGAGGTATTCATGATTTTTCATTGCCTGCAGTGTCAGGTGTCAGCAGTAGATGGCAGTTCACCAAAGTATATTTCAACTGGGATTATTCTGGGAGGGGCATTGAGAAGAGGATACAGTTTGGGATCGAGCTGGACTGCAGTAAGTAGGTGCTGTTCATTTTTAGTTTATAGCTTCTGCACTTTAACTACAGCGCTATTTCAAGCTGCTTTTTCTGTTCAGTTGTAGTTTTGTTCTTAAAATTCAGCACAGTTTGTGCTATGATACTGAGATGATTTTCTCCGTAAAGGGGGAAAACCGACACACCAAAACAAACTTTGTGTTGAGTGAATCAGTCATTTATTTTTAGCATGTGACAATGTTTACTGAGATCTAGGTGGGGACTTTTCCAACCCACAGCGGAGCTATATGAATAGTTATGCAGGGGATAAGATAAACTAATCTATTCAAATGGATTCAAAGAGGTTTTGACTAGCTGATACTGAAAAAGTGGTACAAGTCATGCATTACCGGTAAGTGCAATAAAAATAGTGCAGCATGTTTCAACATTCAGATGTTTTTCACATTAAGTAGTCAAAGAATGCCAGAATGCCATGCATGCTAGGAACGTCTAGTTTGGCTCATTAACTGACTCATTTGATTACAGCTAAGCCCCAAGGTAACTGGATCCTTGATAAACCTGTGGAACATAGGTTTCGTGAGAACAACCCTCCTTCCTCATGCCCTCTGTTCCACAGAACAAGCATACATGGATATTTCATAAAAGCCTTTGGTGCACCAGCCCCAGCTAGCCTAGATAATAACAGCAGTTATCTGGTGTAATTACAACCTAGGCTAGCTGGGGCTGGTGTTCTGCCAGTCCCAACGGGCCTAATTAATTACTACACATAATTACATTATTTTCATATTCCTATTGGATGCTTAATGTTGCCGTTGTAAAATAAATTGTCATCTAAGTGTTGTTTTGTCATTTTAAGTGTTTAGGAGGATTTTGTATCAGTTTAAGAGACTAAAAGTCAGCCAGCTAGCAAGCTAGAACTTGTGATTTGGTTTAGCTGTAGTTAGGGTTGCCACCCGTCCAGAATTTTTCTGGATCATCTTGCATTTTAGATGTCTGTCCAGGAAAGAAAAATTAATTCCATCCCTGGACACAAAACATGCTGGAATCCAAGCCTTTTATGTTAGCATTTCTTATGAGGTTTAAATGGCTTCATTTTATCCAATCAAATCATCTGTAGTTGCCTTGCTGGTGAACTGTTAGGCATTAGGTAGCACTGCAACATGATAACAAAAGACTAGTTCTATATGGTGAACATATCTACTTGCCAACTGAATTTGGGTTAAAAAAAATAAATAAATAAATAAAAAAACGTGCAGGTGCTGGTAGACTGCCAGTGTTTATTTCCACAGCCTAGCAGAAGAAGTGATTTAGCCTTACAAGGCAAGTTATTGAGCTTAACAGTAACCTGGATCTCAGTTTTTAGTTAACCAACAACAATCCAACAGATCAGAAACACTTAGATGCTAATTTTAACCAAAAGCGAGGTTATTTGTGCATGCTTAAAGATGCAAAGCTACTGTATGTCTTATGCCTGGCCCATACTACAGGACTTTAAAAATCCTAATACATGCTGAAAATGTGCATAACCCTACACATAATGACTGATTCCACTGACTTTTTTTGTTCTTAGCCACCCTTCAGTCATCAAAGCTCCCACACTACAAGATTTACTCAGAATAAAACTCCACATGCTTTCAGATTACAACGATGAGTCCAAACCAACAGTCCTGTCCCTCAGAACCTGAGATCTCACAGAATTACTTGTGAGCAAACCACAGCACAGCACACATTACTGCTAGTTATGTGTGCATTTAGCAGTGTAAAAGTGAAAGGAAATATCATCGCTGTCCAAAGAAAAACAAGTATCTCCAAAAGGGTAACTTTACAGGAGAGGGCAAAAACATTCTTTACATTTAACGCAAGTCAATGTGAAGAGATTTTATTCCAAGTCATTTTGGAGCATTTCTATTGGTCCATTCATCATGAAATTTTCACTCGATGTAAAGGACAGCCACCATGTTCCAATGATGCAGAAAACTAAAAATAAAAAAAATGGAGATACATGTTTTTCAGCAACGATGTTTTGTTTTTTACAGCGTCATCATCATCATCATCATCATTAACCACTTAGTCCAGATAGGGTCGCAGTAGCAGTCAGGAGAGCACAGAATCTCAGGCAACCCTGTCCCCCGCAACTTCCTCCAGCTCATTCCCGGGGACCCCAAGCCGCTCCCAGGCCAATTTGGAGATCTAATCCCTCCAGCGGGTCCCAGGACGACCCCGGGGTCTTGTCCCGGTAGGCCGTGCCTGGTACACCCCCACCAGGAGGCGTCCAGGGGGCATCCGGATCAGATGCCCGAACCGCCTCAACTGGCTCCTCTCAATGAGGAGGAGTAGCGGCTCTACTCCGAGTTCCTCCCGGATGACCGAGCTCCTCACCCTATCAAGTAGAGTGTAGCCCGCCACCCTGCAAAGAAAGCTAATTTCCGCCGCTTGTATTCGCGATCTCATACTTTTGGTCATTACCCACTTTTTTTTTTTTTTCCCCACATGGTGGAAGGGCTTGTGTGGTCTAGGGATCTTCAGAGCTAAGTTGTTGGGAGCAATATGCTCCTGGTAGGGTCTCCCAGGACAAACAGGTCTGGAGTGAAGACCTAACTCTATCCAAAAAAATTTTTCAGTATCGATTAGGATAAAAAAAGATTTTTTTCCTTCTGTTTACCACTGATGATGCTTGGCTCTCGTTGGTTAACAATCTTTCACGCATGACATCAATATTGTGTTTCAGTTTATATTAACAATTCTAAATAGGGCTGGAGGGGGTAGAGCGAATTCTGCACACTCTATACCCCAAATCGACCTGATTATCCAATAGTGCGGGCCAGGCATTACTTGGATATATGTTGACAGCTTAATCACAATCACCTCTTTTATTGAAGCTAAGGTCCAACTGATATCATTTGTCAAATAATTAAGTTAATATTCACAGTTAGATGGATTTGCTGAGAAGTCCCTACTGCTAAAATATTTAAAAAGCACTATTTAACTAGAACTACTAAAGTACAAAAATTTTTAGCTCCTAAAATCAGTATCAGTGATAAATCAGTATCAGTGATGAATCAGTATAGGTCAGGCCAATTGAAACCTTGTGGGCAATGCTAAAGGGTGAGTAAACAAATTACAAGCAAAGTACATGAAGTACTTTACATAAAAAATTCTACTGATTAAGCGTCTATGCATGCATGTTATGAGAAAGGCATACACACCACCGCCCTGCAGCCAATTTCGCTGAACTGACACGCTGACTTGGACTTTGCACATGATTTGCTATGCTCAGGAAACTGTGGAGAGAAAAAAAGAGAAATGACAGTCTTTGATAAAGGTCTGTTATGCATGCTCAGAGTCGCAATAGGCTGCCTTGTGTGTGAAAAGGTTAAGAATGTGGCTAATATGTTAAGCATACCAGTATGACTAGTAACAACGCCTGCTTTGCTTAAAGGAACATATTTGACTATACAATCTAGAACATTCATAGTTCAGAGACCTGCACTAACATTTACACCACCCACACACTGGGGTGTGTGAGGGTGTGGGAGTTTCCTTTTGTGTTTCAAAATGACGGGTTCAATAAAGGAACAAAACCGGCAACGGTTGAAAGTAATACCTACTAACCTTTTCTCTGGGGATCTTCTTTTTACCGCAGTCTTTGCACTGGATGGGAAATTTCTGGCAAATTTCGTCATGAGCCTGAAACAAAAAATGAATAATACAAGAAAATGGCTTCATCAGAGATTCCTAAACAATTCCTTCCTAGGAAAGATCTCCTCCCTTTAAACTAGAAATTGCAACAAACAAAACAAACAAAAATAAACAATGTGAGCTGATTAAGTGTACTTGTGCTGTACCTAAATGCTGCTGCTACACCTTTACCAAAATGTTGTTGCATAATTATGCATGACTTTTTGTGCTAAGTAGCAAGTTGCCTCGGTAACACTGAGTTGTGTTACTTAAATAGGCAACTCATTTTTTTTTGCAAGACTTTAAAATGGTTAGCCCATTTTAATGATGTTATTAATATATTTATATTGTGACCAATATGACTGTAAAGAAATCGGAATCTGCCTTAAAAAAATTCTTCGGTTTAAAAAAAATATTTATATGTATTGAGCCTGCAGTATTTGCAAAGCCACAATAAAACATTTGCAAGCATATGCAGTCAAGAAAATAAGTTAACTAAGTTATCTTCTACAGGGAACAAACAGACATATTCTCAATGTGTTAAAATGTATTCTTTGTAGAGGATGTGTTAACTTATTTTCATTTATAAAATCAACAAAAACAATTTGACTGGCAAACTTTTGCCTTTGGCGTGACTGTACTAGAGACTGAAAATGCATAAGAATATTTTTACATATTTACATACACTTTGATTCCACACTGTATAGCTGTTTTGTGAACAAGGCCTCAGCTGCTGTCAGTAAGCTTTGAAGTAAAAGAGGTTACTGTATGTGTGTTAATGATAGACACAGCACTTCATCAGACGTTCGTAGTTATTTACCTTAATGTCTTTGAAGCTGAAGGAGACTTTGCAGTACTTGCAGTTCAGAGTCCTGGCTTCACACTCTCTCTCATTGTGACGGTCTTTGTCGGTAAGTAGGATAAACATTTGACATGCTTCACACTTCACACGCTCAAACTCACATCGGCCTTCGTGCTGCACCTGGGGAAGCACGCACAAGATGAAATTATCTAGATTACAACTATTGTCAGTAATTTTGATCAATTTTGGGGAACTTCTGTGGAAGCTAAAACATAAGCTGTACCAGTAAACTAATTCAACAGTTAACGCAATAACCAGGGAAACATTCAACTGCTTTGGGTCTGTCCATGGTAAGTTTTAAAAAACTGCCCTCAGAGTAGTTATGACAATTACATGTACATGTTGGACAGCTGGGATGCACGATAAAGCGGTGGCCGATATATTATTTTGCAATAAATGAAAAACGTAATTATCGGTCCAATATAAAAATTTTCGAAGATAACTGAAAATTATGCCATATTTTTGTCTTTACACTGAAACGTGTAGTCACCAGTGGTCGGAATTTCTCTTCCTCTAGAGCAGGGTTTCTCAAACGCTAAGCCACAACGCTGAGTGTAAAACACCCTGTAGTGGTCCACAGGCCTAGTTCGGACCAACAGAGGGTAGTGCCGCAAAGAGGGAGGGGCGTAGTTCATAGCGGGCCGGTAACAGCATTTTAAGCCATATCGACGTGAGTTAAAAAAAAAAAGTGTTAATTTGATAATAAATAAAAAAAATTAACATTTTTAAATAACAAAAAAATAATAATAATAACAAATATTAACAGAGCAGAAGTAGGCTAAATTAAACATCATCAGTTTGTGACAATGCAGCCACAGGCACACGGTGCTTACAGTTAGCTAGCCAGAGATCCTTAGGGCGCTTTCACACATACCTTTTTTAGTGCTGACCTATCAAACTTTCTCTTTAGTTTGGTCCGTTTTGACATGTGTGAACACTCCACCCATACTCGGGTCTGCACCAAACAACTGAACCATGTTCCGGCAAAAATCAAGGGTCTTGGTCTGTTTACAATTGAAGTTGCGATGGTCCACATCACACAAGCAAATTCATCATGAGAGCATGCTTTCCTCTTTTTCTAGCAGCACATTGGTGCTGCAGTGTCTGCATACTCTGCTTAACACCTGATTCTTTACAGATAATATTGTGCCTGTGGCACGAACTGCTAATAAAAACAGACGAGCAATAAAATGGAATGTATTTTAGTCAAGCAAGAGCAACCTGATTGGATGAATTCAAATTTGAACCCCAGTTCTAGAGCCCTACAGCACCCTCCATAGGCCACTTTGAGTTTCCCTGCAATGTGCGCTGAAGGCACGTAATGTAACTTACTGACATGAATTCTGACAGATAAGACTTTCGTCACTAACGTTTTAAGATTTGTTTTATAAATCAGTTTCCGATTTACAACAAATAGTGTTACATATCTTTACCCCCATTTTTATGATGACTGCTCCAGAAAGGCAGAGGCTGTTGAGTTACAGTTGCCTTTTTCAGATATGAAGACAAAATGATAATATGGAGTGTGAATATTTAAGATCATTGTTTAGTTATGTTTTCATAATTAATTTAGCTTTTTTTACTACACGCAAAGCCAAGTTCATGCTCCACTACAAGTTCCAGTCTTTAAAAATACCAGAGTAATTTGTAGCTGGGGTTCTTTTAGTGTGCAGCCTTTAGCCAGATGGCTATGACTTTTTTTTTTTACAGCCTTGCGTTGGGCTCACTGTTAGTTGTTGTAATCAGTTAATTCCATATCCCTGTTCTGCATTTTTAGGAACTGTCATAGCTTTCACATATTCTTGCAAATGGCTTTAGATAAGAGGGACTTGTAAATAATGTAAATTATCTACATAAATTAATGTGAAAAATTAACATGAGTAAATTAAAATTATTTAAATTATCAGCTTATGATATCAGCATCATCCACAATAAGGTGCTAATTTTCCGTTATCATACTGGGCTCCAACAAAAAAAACAATGCATCTCTATTGGACAGTAAAATGTGGTAAGTGGACAAAAGCATGTGGAACTGGAGCTTTACGCATGCTACCGTGTTTTCCATTTTCACTACATAGAAGAAGCATAATGCTGCCTTTAGTGTGTGCAAAGTGGAATTTTGATTGTTAAGGGCTTACTATTGATTTCTCAGTGTAACAATAAAAGGCCACCAAATTAGTAAGTATATTTCTTTTTTTGTTTGCTCGTTTACATAAAAAATAAAATTCGTATTTATTTGTATGTGACAAGCAAAAACCTAAAAACATATGAGACAATCACGAAACTAAGGCAGAAGAGTAATGAGAAAAATAGTTTAGCCAATAGGGGGTACTATGAGTTGTAGTCTTTGAATCCATTGTAATGGATTAAGCTGTTTGACTTATTCTCGAGTAGGTTTGAATCAAATCAAGAAACTCCCAAGACATCCCATCATTTATAATCGTGCATACCACAACCTTGCTGATAGCTTTAGAACAGAGAAACCTGCTGCTTAACAGCAGTTTATCACTAGCTTTAATCACAGTGCAATGGTGCAATCACTAAAGCTTTTAGTGATTTAGCCTTTCCAAACACAGGACGATGACACATTTTTAGGCATTTTACGTTTATTCAGAACATCCTTTGAATACCAAACACATTTTGAAGCACAACTTCCTGGTTCTAATGCAGATATATCCAAGACAAGTGACTTGTGCAAATGCAAAATAAATCTATAAAAATGATGGGTTGAGCTCACGATTTAATCACATTTGGAGAACAGGATAAGTTCTTGATCTTTGACAAGCTTTCTCTTGAAGGAACATTCAATATTCATAGCAATAACTTAATGAACAGTGTGTTCAAACAGTTTTATGTCTTCTTTCAGCTTTGTCTTCATGCGTAACACAAAATGCTTACACACACACACACACACACACACACACACACACACACACACACACACACACACACACACACACACCAAAAAAAAATAAATTAACTGATGGCTCTTTAGAGGACCATTTTTGTAAGGGAAATGTCAGTGTGAAGAACCTTTTTAAAGTTTAAAGAACCTCTACATAATGTGAACATTAAACAGGGCCACATATGTTCTTTAGGTGGAAGTTCTGGTTCTAGCAGGCTAGTAAATTCATTAGCTCAAGGGAAAATTTAGCAGCGCAGAAAGTAAATGTGAAAGCCTGTTTTATTAGTCAAAAATACACAAAGTTACAACAGGGGGCATTTGTGATGCATGAGGAGGAGGCTTGAGTGAAGGAGACTGCCCCTTCTGATGAGCTAACAAGCTACAACTAGAGCTAACTGGCGTAGTGTTAGGTGGGGCTTATCAGCTTCTATGCAAAGTCTTTAGCTCCCAAATGGATGATGTGCCAACATGTAAATCTGAGGTATTATGGGAACTCCTGAGATGATGGCAGGAACCGTAGACATGCGTAATTATACATTTTATTAAAACTAAAAGGAGAAAATCGCCCCAGTATTTACAACACTTATGGGACAAAAGGCAGCAAGAGCTTCTGTATGCAGCTTTTGTTTTGTCGTCCGTGATTAATTTGGCTAACAAACTAGGTCCATGGCTGAGAAAGCACCAACAATGGTGAGGAATACAGTGCCCAGTACTTTTACTGACAGATATTCAGTTTACCATGACAAACAGAAGAAAATAAAAAGGACTTAGGCCGATAATAATGGATCTTCTAAAATAGGATAACCTGTAATATAACCTTTTTACATATCAAAAGTAGTTCACAGTCATAATACACAGTGTTGCAGGCTTAGTTCTTCAGATGGAAGCACTGGTGCTAGCAGGCTAAAAAAATTCAGCAGCACAAGTGAAAATTTTGCAGTACATTTAAAAATCTGTTTAGATATTCAAAAATATTGAAAGTTTAAACGGTAAGCTGTTGTAGGTGCATGAGGAGGAGGCCTGATTGAGACTGCCCCTTCAGATTTAGCTAACAAGCTAAAACTAGAGCCAACTGGTGTTTGATCCTGATGGGGCTCATTAATTTCCCTGCAAGCTCTTAGGCTTAGAATGGTGATGTACCAGCTAAATACTTGAAATTCTCACCCATCACAAAAAAGTTCCACAGACATTACAAAGAGTCAGTCTTGTGTCATCCATTTTGCTGCAAGAATGCTAAAGAAGAATGTGTTAAATGCACATGCATTTGTTTACCCTTGTAGAACTCTAGATTGGGCTGCTGCTTCAACATCATGATGTCGATCAGTCATTAATGATAAATGATGGCATCAACCCTAGCTAGCACTGGCAACAACCACTGATTTGTCTTCTTTCTGTGTTATCCAACTGATGCCATAGAACCACTAAAGGCACTCTCTAGAGCCAGTGTTTGGTTTGTCTCTTCTGGGCTACTGTTGAAACATGGCAGTACAACATGCCAGGCTTTGCTGGAAGTGGACCTGTCTCATATGTAGATATGAAGGTTTCATTCTAAGCAAATGAAAACACAATGATTCGTAGTTACAGGTGATTATACACTATCAAAAATATGGTTTTGTATACTATATTCCATTTCTGTTAATATATTTTTCTAAATCATACACACTGCACCTTTAGGCTAATCAAGTTTCATAGTAGCAAAGACATAATGCTACTGGGAGTGTCTAACTGAAAACCATTGTGATTTACAGCTTTGTGTATATATCAAACAGGGTAAGGGCAGGGCACCAGTAAAAACTAAATGGAAAGTTTGACTTACAGTGTGTAAAATATCAACAAGAAGCCTCTATGGTCTTTCATTTGCTTTGGTCATGAAAAGAAAAGAAGCTTGAATAGTTGCACTCTCCCTACTTTTAGGTAAAGGTTAACTTCAGCTCAAAGCAGTTTAGATTGGTGTGAACTGTATAACAGGTTTAAGTTTGTTTTAATTCAAAACTCAGTACTGGGTTTAAAGAGGAAACAAATGCAATCATTAACATTTGAACAAAGCTTGGTCCTGATAAGCACAAAGGCTGTTATTTTTGGTTGCACAATTTCCTGTTTAGCTTGAATTCAGAGTATACCACTTCTATATGCATTGTTCAAGCCAAATGTGAAGATGTGGATAAAACATTCATTTGCAGCCTTTAACAACTAATGTAGACTGAAAGGCAGAAGTAACAACTGCTTAAACAACTAGACGTTTAGTAAGAACATATTCAGTTGCATCTAGAATGAAAGGTTTTGCAAGGATTCTTTTGCGACATGACACTGCAGTCTTGCATGCAGAGCAATACACAACAACAAACCAGCCTGAACGTCATGTTCATGCAAGTTTAAACAAGTTTGACCACATTTCCGCATTTCTTATAGACCGAGTCATACACTACAGGTTCAACCTAACACAGCTACTTGGTGGGTTCAACTACATGAATATAGTGGAGTGATGAAACTGATAATCAAGATAAAATCAGTAATGCCCAAAAAACACCAAAACCTCTGGAATAAAGTGGAGTATGACAGAATCACATGGTAAGAATGACTCACAAAACTAGAATGAAATGACTGTCTTACTAAATTTTAAGGGTAAGAAAACCCTGCTCTGAATATTCGTCATGCAGTTACTCATAGTAAGGTAATCGGTTAGTCATTTCCAGCTTGATATAACCGCACCAAGGCACATATGAGTGAAGTTTCATAGAATAAAGGAGGCACTTGAGTAATCAAGAGTTCTCATAATGATGGCAGTAAAAGCTGATGTGCCTTTGCTCTTGCCAGAGATCTAATCTCAACCAAAAGTCAAGTTATATTTTGCTGATAGCATAAAAAAAAAAACCTCCCTCACTTCACTTTTACTTCCACAGTTCTTTTTTGACCTAAGCTTTTAAATGTGACATGGATCTTTTTATCTTTACCTTTGAACAAGAACAGCAAAGGGATTGGCTGAATCACATAAACAAGTAGGTTCATCTCAATCATTTTTTTAGGGGGATTTATCTGAGGTTCTGACAACAGAGTTTCTCACACTGATATACAGCTGTTAGTTAAGCTGCGTGTGTGGGTGCTTTCCAGAGCTATTTCGTTTCAGGCTTGAACAGTTTGGGACTTTCCACCCTTCCCCCCACAGCTCAATGCTTCCGCCCTCATTTGGCGGCGGACAGTCTGGGAGCGGGTGTTATGGTTAAGCAAGAGAAACCTGTTAAACTGCAGTCTCTGACTAAACAATAAGCTCTAACTAAACACGCTGAATAAATAACTTGGCTTATATTTCCTTAAAACTGCTGCCAGGAAATAGCCATATAAACATAAAGCAAGCTGGGAGTGAGGGGACACTTTGATAATTTTACCTCATAGTCTTTCAGTGTTCCAGTCCAACTACAGCCTTCATTTGGGCATTTTGCAGGCAAGCTATCAATTTCTCTCCGAGCAGCATTGTCTGGAAATGCCTGAAGGAAAGAGGTTAAACACAGCAGTCATTTACTCTTGCTCTAAGTCTGCAACTCTGCAAAAGCTGTTGCTGATTAACCATGTGCATGTACTGGTCATTCTGTGTTTTTTTTTTCTTAGTACAGACATAGTGAAAGTACATTTCTTGCCATAATGTGTGTAACTAAAGAATGGAGGAGCAGTAGAAGGAATGGAATGCTCTATATCATTTCAAGAGTAGACATCATTCAGAGAAAAGCGTTCCTACCTCACAAAAATTAAGCATAGACAGATCCACTTCAAATATACCCTCGGCACGGCAGGCTTCACAGGGTATGGGGCCGGAGCTGATTGGGATAAAACAGGTGATTGATGCAAACGAATCAGGACTATGCTTGTCCCATACTTGAAAGCAATCCATGAGATGCTTAATAGCTGAATTAGCTCAGGATTTGCAATGCAATAAGAAGAAAGGTGGAAAAACATTTAAAGACAGCATGTAAAGCATCTACAGGCAAAGCAAGGCTAAAACTGAAAAGTGGAACTGAATCTGCACATTCAGTTTCCAGGAGCAAAACAAGACTAGAAAAAGCAAGGAACTGTTGACCCACTTTTTTTTCAAGTATAGCTCAGCACCCATTTCTTAGCATCTCCTTTGGGTATATTTTTGCCTCATTGGTGAAACTGCGTCATAGGACTTTTTCCCAAATGTTTCAACAAATGAATCAGTGAATGAATATAAGCATGAATAAAGAAATAAATATATATCATCCATTCTGCTCAGTTCCGCTCCTTCTACTCCTTATGAAAGTCATCCACATTATGTCCAAAATCCACTAGAGCTGTTACAATTGAACTAAACCACAGATTCCTCCTGAACTTGTAGTGGTGGGGATCTTGTGTATATCGCAAATGTTGTTGTCATAAGAAAACCTATTAACTCCCATTTGTTTTGGATATTACTGTATTTTCTTTTACACCACTTAAAAATGTCAACTGCCCTTTACATTGTATAAATTTAATGACAGGTGGATCAAAATGGTCCAAAATTACTTTCAAGAATTTTAAGAATGTTTTTAACCTTCTCACCGCTTTGAAGATACAAGGTTTTCTTACGACAGCGACAATTTGAATGTTGACATCACTAACTTAAAATAACATTACTTCATGGTTGCAGAGCTCACCAAAGAAAGAGCATATGGTGATGACATCTTCAGCCACAAATGTTGGATAAAGGCAGTAAATTGCAACCCAGCTGCTGGGTGATGACGGAGGAGGAGGAGGAGGATGGGACTGGATGGGTCTGAGCAAGAAGAAGGAGAACTGGGTGGATCTGAGCAAGCCTGTCTGGGAAGAGAGGTGGCAAGCTCTGGAGAGCAGGGGGCCAGGAGAGCCTTGGGTACCTGGTGAGCTGCTTAAAACAGGATACACAGAAGCGATGTCCACACTGGGCTTGGAAGGGCTTCCTAAGAACCTCCTTACACTGCTGGCACTGGTATTTCGGTTCCATAGACACGGACAGTACCTGCCGTGGTATTCCTGGCAATGTGGAGTCCACCGAGGAGATCAAAGATGGACGTGCCATTCCCTTCCATTTACCCGTAATGCTGTTCATCCTTTGAGACAAAGAAAGCAAAAACAAAGGGATTCTCATTACACATACAAAATACTGAACTTCATGACACATAATATTGAATAAACTTTTGCCATGATTGAATTCGCATTCAAACTGAATAAGACAATCTCTTAAGATGTGCCTGGGTTTTGTCCAGCAGGTGGCACTTCAACTCAATTAGTGACTAATGACAAGGGGCATCCCAAAATGTTTTTCTTGCCTTCTTTCCTTGATTTCTTTCCCAGTCGTCTAGTGCAAAATTTGTGAGCACGACAAAGAAACAGAAAGCGATAGAGGATAGGTAAGGTTGCACTATCATGACTAATGGAAAAACCTCATGTATCTCACCTTAAAGCTAAAGCCTTCTGAGAAGAGATGCATATCAAACCATAAAACCTATGCTAATTTCAAACTATTTTTAGCTTAATTTTGCCATTTTGGTAGCGTTTTACATAATAGAAGAGAATTTGTTCCTTGTATGGAAACTAGGCGGCGATTTTCTCATGGAACGTTTGGGTGTAACACAAAAGATGCAATTATCCTACTTAAAGCCTAAAGTATCTTCGACAAAACTTTAGCTTAGCTCACTCATCTCCTTGACTACTAACAATGAAATGAGAAAAGGTAATGAATCTGTTTCTGTTGGAAAGCTCAGAAAGCATGTCAACAGTCAGCGTCTGTAGCTTAATGACTACCCAGTGTTGACACACAAGAGAGTTTTAAGCAGGGGCGAGGTTTGACTGGTCGGTTGTATCTGGCTAGCATTAACAGAAGAACAGTATAAATTCTGTCTGGTTTCTTCATAGACTTCCATTCAAAACTACCCTTTTTTTGATAAAATATATATTCTTCCCCAATAGATGTTTCTCATGCTTTATTATAATAATTATTTTTCCAGTGATTGTTTTCAAAAAGGTAGGATTTTTAAATTACTGTCCAACGCGATCATGGAACGACACAGCTTGGCTGCTGTCATGACCACCCTCTTGAATCAGCCAATCAGCATTGTTAACGTCAATGCTCTGTTTTTATACCATCACTGGCACAAGTTTTGATTCTGGAACAAAGTTCCCTTAAAGCAAAGATAGCATGGTCCAGAACGCGTACTACAAGGGACATGTGCACCACTGAGCCAATCCCTATGAAATTCATAGATGCTAATGCTAATGCTAATGCTGCTCCAGGTCCAATAATACACTCCTGATTTAAGTGACAGCATTTTTGGGGCTACAGTATTAACACTGCTGTTGGTTTGCTGTGCGACAAAATGAACTTCAACACTTTGAATGCAATAATAAATGATTAGTTGCCATAAAGAGGGACTACTGCTTTCCCACTACTCCTATAGTAAGGCAGCCAATTGTATAGATGAATCACATCTAATGTTTTCTCGGTTAGCTAGCTATCAAGCATACAAATCCACGGCTGCATTTGCAGTGCTTTGCAAGTCATGTTTTTACTATGCAGGACATTTTCCCCATTTCCTTAATCTGCAAGATATACATCACTTCTCCACATAATAAGTCAAGATTTCCTTGCAGTGGTATGTCCCAAAAGGAAATCTTGACTTATTATGTGGAGAAGTGATGTATATCTTGGTATGTCAAAGTGTTCTCCTACACACACATTTTCATTCATTCTCAGTGTCTACTCTTCCAGTAACTCTTACAGCATTAGTGACATGGGGAAACATTAAAGAAGAAGACAAAAACTCTTTAGTTCTGAAAGAGGAACAGATGACCAAATATAGAGATTTGAAAGGGATGTGTCATGACTGTTTGGCAACTTTATGGTTCACCATGAAGAAGCGAAGTGAATGAAATACATGAATTAATCATATGTAAAGTCATGCACAATGGATATGTACCCTTTCAAAATCAATAAATTATTATTCAGTAACTCCAGGAATGCACCACCTCTTGTACCCAAAAACACTACAGTATTATTATAAGATTTTCATAGTGCTAGAGCTTTGTCTATTATAATCTATAAGACTGTCACCTTCTCTAATATTTCTGTAGTACTGCCTCATTATCTGTAATACGTGTGTAGTAATCTGTAATAATTGTCTGAATTTACTAGAACTTTACTAAGAATCCTGTAGAAATTCTGGCTATATATATATATATATATATTCACATGGGTTATGAAGAACTTAAAGTAACACAGACTTAATAAATTGCTCAATAAACTGTATACACAGCAACCTCTTATTTGATTCAAACATGCTATACTTTTAAACGACTTTCACTCAAAATATAACAGACACAGGACAAGACCAGCACATTCTCACCATTTCATGAAGAAGCTTTGACAAAAGCATGTGATTCAGCAAATACATTTTTCACTGCATAATATGAAAAACCATACTGTCTAAATTGTTGGACACCATCAGATCATCTACAGAAATAAATGTGGATTAGGTTTTAACATTTCTGACTGAAAAAAAATCCTTCAATTCTCAAAAGACTGCTGAAATAATCTAGAATCTGTTCCCTACTGTATAAATGCTTGTTTGTTGTATAAGCTGCATTTTTGTTGCCCATGATGTACATTGCAAATATACCATGTAATACTGTTGTACAAGATAGCTTTTTGTTGTATATGCTCTATTTTGTATATTTACCATACAATACTGTTGCTAAGTACTGTTGCTGTGTTTTACTTATATGCCTTATATTGCTGCCAAGCAACGGCTGTTTTCTCAAAACCACAGTTCTCTATGAACATCTACACTTTCTATATTTAACAAGTTCCAATAAGACTGTTTTAGTATTTCTTCTTTGCTAAATTTGCTACACTGATATATAACACTGATGCTGCAGCAACGTAATTAGCTAATAATTGTTATTTTACGTATTTCGTGCATTCTCTTGGGTAATTATTTCAAACAGTTAACGTTAGGTTACCTAATCTTTTACGTGTTATAAAAAGCAAGGCAAATCTTTATGAAGGACATATTTTATACACGTAGCTACGCCTTACAGGACGTTATAGCCTTACAAGCCTAAAAGCTTAAAAGATGTGTGCTCAAACAGGAACAAGAACTTACGTAGCTAGCTAGCTAAACAACAAGTATTCTTATCATTAGCCAGCTAGCTAGCTTACTGAAGGGCACATACTAGCCAAACCTTCAACACTGAGCTAAAACTATATCTGTATTTTTTACATGCAGGCGTGCAGGAGTTAGCTAATACCTGGGTGAAACAAAACAACACCCCGTATAACAGCAACGTCAGTGTGAATAATCGAGGCTAACTTAGAGTTAGTTAACCTAGGTTACTCTTTTTTCCTTAGTATGTTTGCTTCCTTCTTTGCTAGCCAGTCTAAAAAGTCAACACACTGGCGAAAACATTTAACCTCAGTAGAAAACATTTCAACGAGCCTACAAAATGATGAGGGAAATGAAGGACCAAACGTTATAATATTTAAAAGCTTATCCATATTTTGGCCAAGTTATAAGGTAATCTGTCAGAACAGAAAGTCATAAACAACCCCTAACAACCTCCCAGTGATATACACGAGGCCGGCGTATTACACACAACTCTAACCAGAACCAAACAGAGAAACCGCCCGAAGGATGCAAACGCCATTTCTGGCAAGTTACTGCTGACAGAAACTATATCGACTGCCTCACTTACCAAATTCTTCCTGCAAGTGCAGCGCGACTGCCTTTATAGGCACCACAATGTTGTCTGTCTTTATAACGACGGCAACTCGGCGATTGGTGCTTCAAGGGGACGTGACGTTAAACCAGCCAAGCAGCCATATCAGCAATAATGTAGCTTTATTCGCCCGAGGAGCTACAGGGTTTGAACTTCAAGACAAAGCGAAACAACAACTAAAGGATGACTGCGTTTAAACTATCCCGATATACTTACAATGTCGTGTCTCTCTCAGTTAACGGCAAAAGTACGTTGTGTGGGCCAGCTAAATATAACTTTCTGTCGGAGCTAGCCAGCTAGCTAGATCAAGCTAAGGTATCTGTCTGTCTAGTGTGCAGTGCAGTGTGGCTAAGCTGTAGAGTATTTCCTTCTCTAGCTAATTTGGTTAGTTTGCTGACAAACTTAAAGGTGAATTCCACCGAATTGTCTCCATGAGTAAATTGTTTAGACGTAAGCAAAGTCATTCAGAGTGATTTGATTTGAAATGAAGTATTGTATATATTGTAGAGAGACGTTCTGCCTCCGATTTCTATATTGTGGTGGTGATAGGAACAAGGGGTCGCGACGTTTACAACGCAAACATAAGCATTTTATGTACTGTCCAATATGACCGGTGGACTTACACGTGTAAGGGTGTTTATATGTAATGTTGTAATGGTACAATTGTCTTATAATAGTCTGTAATAATTCTGTCCGTACTATTTTGCCCTACAAACGCCCTGCAGTGACCTCTCTGCAATGTATGTATTTTTTTTTTCTTGAAAGAAGCATGTCACATCAGACCACTCTGAATGACTTCGTTTACATCTTAACCACTTAATTATGCATACATTTGGACAAATCAGTGGAATTCTGTTAACCTACGCTCTTTAAAAGATGGTTCTTCGAGGGTTATTTAGTAAAGGGAATGGTTCTATTTAGAACCATAAGTTCTATATAGAACCATTTCATGCTTAAATGGTTCTTTGTGTGGTGAAATTGTTCTTCAGACTGATGGAGAATGTCTTGTATATTTTTGAATATTTTTGAAAATGGTTCTATATAGCGCCAAAAAGGGTGGTTCTATTGCTGCAAGCTTGACCACAACAACAGAATAACCCTTTTTGGTTCTATTTTATGTGAGTTATGTGAGGGTATAAACACGTTTTTTTTCTTTTTTTTTTTTTATAATGTATGCAAAAGTTAAAAAGTTGCTGAACGAATTCAATAAATATAAATAATATAGTTTTTATTTATTTACAAAGCTGTATCTGAGCAAAAACCTGGCTTGTTATTTTTTTAATGTTCAGGTCAGTTTATTTTATTAGCGTCATGTGGCTTCACTGGTTTAGAAAATGTACAAAAGATGCACATATCTCCTGTGAGAATTAGATTGCAGAGGTTAAGGAATAGGCGATATCGCTAATTTTCTTTTGTTCTGACACTAAGTAATACCAAAACTGATATGCCCGATATTAACATTTTTAAATGTCTTCTGATGTATGAAAGATGAATTATTTGTGTTTTCTACAATGAAAAACAATAAATGTGGACATAATATATTTCAGGTGACAGGTGGGCAATATGGCAAAATAGACATTTTCACGATACATGATACATATCATGATATTTTGACCCAGACACGAAGTACAAGTAGTGTCAGGTTTAAAAACAACCACCGAACAGGACCCATTTTGCACTCCATTTAATGAAATATGCAGTTGATTTATGGACGATATTCACGATAAGTTCAGAAACGCTGATTATCACAATATCAAAGTCGATCACGATAACGACAAAAATATTGTCAACAATTTACTAAACTGGCACATAAACTGACTATATATATATATATATAACTGAAATAGTGGAGTGAAATAATTCCAAATGGTCTGTTATCATGGTGCGTTTATTCCCCACTGCAGTTTTTTCCGTTCATACAAGACCACGCTGTCATAAATGGGGACAGACCTATAAACCCAAAAACATATTCACTAGTAAATGGTTTTTAGGTTTTGGCTCAAATAACACACAAAACTGTTTTTTCAGGTTGTTCCTATTGCGTATTTTCTCACTTTCACTTTTGGTGCACTGAAAGAAAACATTCAGTATCTGTGTTTTTACGTGAGGATTATTTCTCAAAAAGAAACGTCAGCATGAGAAACATAAATATTTCAGTATCAGTCTACACACCTCTACCGAGGACAGTTAGATTTGACTCTTTTTCTGACAAAACTCAATAATATAGCCAGCTAGCTAGCTAGCCAACTAGTTAATATATGGTATTAGTGTATGACTGAAGCAAATGCATTAAACTAAGGCATTCATTGAACATCTCTTCACTGCAGTTTTGGCCAGGCAGCAGCACACCAGCTGGAGTTCAGACCACCACTATGGCACGTTGTATCCAGGTCACATCCAAACCAGCCCTCTTCAAAAAGCTCTGCTGGCTGTGGGATCTGGAGTAGCTGCTCTGCAGAATCCCTACAGACACGGTGAGGCTTGTATTGCAAATGTTAGATTCTTAGTTTCAATTGCTGACTGAAATGATCAAAAATCAAATGCCTTTTTCCTGAATAACTTGAAATTGAAAAAAAAATATTGAAAGGAAAAAAGCAGATGCGAATTTATTTTTTGGAAAAAACCATCAACAACAATAATACACTAGTCCTTTATTGTGGATGGTGAGAGCTTTCAGTATCATTGAAAATAAAGAACATATTGTTTTTCCTTCCCACAGATATGGTGGCAGTGCTTGGGGAGACAACCGGGCACCTGGCCCTGATCAAACTAAGGAACAGGTTGAGGAATGACCCTGAAGGTTACACCATTCTCAAGTATGAAAACCTTTGTTTCTAAGGTTGCATGTTCCTCATATAACTCAGTTACAATGACTTATCTGTAGAGCTAATAACATTGTACTACACAGAACCCCCATGCACTGCTGGGCGATATTGATAAAATTATCATAGTATTAGCAGTAGTAAAGATCATGAATTCATGTTTCTGAGTACTGATACTGCTTTACACCAAAGGACACCAAATGTTACCAAACAGAAAATTTTCATGTTCTTTTTGGAAGTGGATTTTAAAGTGTTCTTTTCAAACAATGTAACATGCAAAAAGAAATGACATACTGTGCCTTGCCATTGTATTCAACCCCTTTAAAAGTAATCAGATGGAATACAAATGACACAGCTTGTTCCATTGTTTTTTATTGCAAACCAATGTGCTCTTAAAGTATATTTTCAAAGTCAAAGTGCATTATTTGTCAGCAGAAGAAAACAACTTAAAACCTGAAAAACACTTCTCAGCCCCTATTCAACCCCATCAGACTAGTACTTGGTAGAACCACCTTTTGCTGCAATAATAGCTTTAAATCTGTTGGGGTTTCTACCAGCTTTGCACAATGTTTGGGAGTAATTTATGTACATTTGCTCCACATTGTTTAGGTAATGCTTGTGGACTGCAGTTTTCAAATAGGTCCACAGATTCTCAATTGAATTTAGATCTGGACTTTGACCTGGCCATTGTAGAATATGCACCTTTTTGGTGCTGTTGGCCTTGTGCTCTGAATCAGTGTCCCAAGCTTGTCTTACCGTATCTCCCTGTATTTGGAACCATCCGGTCATCCTTCAAATTTAACAAGATGCCCTGTCCCCTCTGAGGAAGAGCAACTCTGCAACATGATGCTGCCACCCCTATACTGCTGGGATGGTGTTTGCTGAATAATGGACAGTGTTAGGTTTGCGCCACACACAGCATTTTGAATTTTGGCCAAAAAGCTCCTTGTTTTGTTTCATCTGCCCACAAAACCTTATCCACTCTAATTCTTTCTAGCAAACTCCAGATATGCTTTGATTTGTTTTTTCTTAAGTAATGGCTTTTTTCTAGCCACCCTCCCATACAGGCCAGTTGTGTGCGGAGCTCTTGATATTGATACCATTGACCTTCACTCCAGTCTCAGCAACTGAACTCTGCTTTGTCATTGTAATACCGTTGACATGTCTTTAGAGAACGTCCAAGGATCCGCCTGTCTACACTGGACATTTCCAGTATGTCCACTCTTCCAGATGGTTCTCTAGGAAGAGAATATCTCAGATTCCTGGATGAGAATGTAAGAGCACAATTTCATTGATGTATTTTTCACCTGAAACATCTTAGCACCTTAGTGTTGTCTTTGTTCCTTTTCAGAAAGTCACGCCTGACACACGCGCTGATGTGAAGTTTGTTGATGATGAAGAACTAGCATATGTGATGCAGCGATACAGAGAGGTGCATGATCTACTACATACATTGCTAGGCATGCCAACCAATATGCTTGGTAAGTGGTACCAGCTTGATCTGTTATTTTCAGGGACGGTGTTACAAAGTCAGTCATATTTAGTTGGTTCTTTAGGGTTAAATTTGTGTATTTTTAATAAGGAAAATATCAAATGCTTCTTAGGCAATTAAGTACCACTCTTTGTGATTTGGTGCCCACGTTACCACAGTGTCAGATACTGTACAGCACAAATGGTAAAGCACACTGTGTATGTGTAGTAGATATTACTTTGTGTGTTAATTTGAGTGTTGAAGGAGAGTAATGGGAATATTTTTGCTGTATGTTATAGGTGAAGTTGCAGTTAAGTGGTTTGAGGCTGCTCAGACAGGTCTTCCCATGTGCATTCTGGGAGCAGCCCTGGGTCCACTTCGTCTGTCCACCAGGTGAGGCCTTTGTCTCCCTTGTGTTCTCATTGCACTGGATAGGAAAAGCACACCTCTTTACGTAATGAACTGTATGTATAATTCCCGTTCTAAAATCTGATTGGCCTTGTACAAAGCCCTCAGTGCACACATATGACCACACACATCAATTAAATTCTGTATTACTGCACTGACTGAAAACCATTAACCATTAGCTTTTCATAGGATAATGTTTGCATTTGTTGCTTGGCAAATGTAGCTTAGTTGTTGACAAACGACACTTGCCAGCCACTGTATTATGAATAACTGTACAACTGCTCAGTCATGTAGTTATCCACTCAAATAATTACAATCACATGCAAAAGTCTGGGCACCCTCGTTCAGTTTACATGTTTTGTTGATTTTCTAAGTGAACATTTTACTGTTTATTTACTAAATTTTACATATTGAAAATAGAATAAAATCTAAATGTGGCTTGTGCTAAAATTATGGCACATTTTACATTTTATGTTTTCTTGCCCAATATGTTAAACTAAAGTGCGTTCACAGTAGAGGATGATTTTTTTTTCACTTAGAAAATCAACAAAATATGTAATCTGACTGGGGATGTTAAAACTTTAGCACACAGTGGTGTGGTGCAGCACCCCAATGTATAAAATCATGCAGATATGGATCAAGATAATATCATATTGTATATTGGTGCTGTTTCATAAATTCAATAACTCACTTTAGTCCATGTTACAGTGATTTTATCACAGTTAAGGAAGTTCAAACACAACACAAAGTGGAGTAAAATCACTAGCACATGGCCTCTCATGGCTTATTGCCAGGGATGGGGGAGTAGCTAAGTTTTCGTAGCTAACTACAGATTTATGTTGCTAATAGCTGTAGTCGCTACGGTTTTATGAAATGTAGCTAATAGCTGTAGCGCCTACAAATTTTTGTGAAGCTATAGCGATAATTTTCACTACAATTTCGCTACAGGCTTTAGGCAATCCACGCAAAATCTAACCCACCAAACATGGTTGTTAACTGGGCAGGTGGCGACTGTGCAATCTTGACAGTTCGAGTCCCACGCGCTGATCATCCCTTACTAGTAGGCTTAGCTCAGGGGTCGCAACCGAAATGTTAAAAAGAGCCATTTTTTCCTTTCAACAAAAATGAAACCACCTTGGGAGCCACAACATTTTATGTCCGTTTTACCGTCTTGGCTGTAAATAAGTCTCAGTATGTGCTTAGCTCAGTATGTGCTAAGCACTCAGCTGGTTTCCTGATACATTTAATCTGCAACAACTCCCGAAGCTGAAGCCGCTTCTCTTTCTCCAGCTTCTCGTTTGAATTGTCCCGTTCCACCTTAAATGGTGCCTGAGGCGCCAGAGTGTACTGCTGCGCCATTTAAGGTGGAACGGGACAATTTGAACGAGAAGCAGCAGAAAGAGAAGCGACTTCAGTTTCGCAAGTTGTTGCAGATTAAACATATCACGAAACCAGCTGAATGCTTACAAATGCAAATAATCCATTCATCTCCAAATTGTCATTGTTCGTCTTAAAACTCTCTCGTTGCCATTTCTTTATCTGCGTTGCTGCGTGTCCAGCAGTCTGCGCGTCAGTGTTCAGCGTTAAAGGTTGGTGAGTTATTACGTGTTAACTCCAGCGTTTAAGACCATTTATTGTGAAAACTGTGTAAGAATTGTGTGTTATAACGATTTTACAGCAAAGGAGGATTATGTTATTTTACCTAAAAATCTAGTTCTGCTGTGGAGCCCCAACAGCTCTGCAGCAGTGGAGAGATTTTTCAGGCCTGATTCTTACCCCAAACAGAGCCAGGGACACTGATGAGAATTTTGAGGCTGAAGTGTTGCTGAAGTTTAACAAAGGACTATGAATGTCATGTCTGTAGTATCTCTTGCTGAAATGTTTAAATTGGAGAAAAAATGTTTGGTTTGTATTTGGTTATTTTTGTTGATTTTTGGTAGGAAAAACCTGGAATGATTGACTTTGCCTTTACTTAGTCTAAATATTTGTGGATATCACGCCTTTGGTTGTGTAAATTTGATTGTTGATTACACTTAAACTTACTTTTTGGTGATCTTTTTGTATATTTGCAGCTTTTCAATTGTATGTGTCTTTCTGGCACATGATTAAATGCAGTGTGTTGTTCACACTATCAGTTATGCTTGTTTGGTGTGTCAGGTGGAGATTCACAAACATTCTGACAATCACACTTTGAAAGTAGCTAAAAAGTAGTGCACTACTTTTCAAGAAGTAGCTAAAAAGTAGCCACTACTTTTTCTGAAAAAGTAGCTAAATTGTATCTAATAAGGAGCTAACTATGAACCCTGCTTATTGTTTTGACAGTGCTACATGAAGTATCTCACTGAATAATAAAATCTATCCAGTTTGAACAAAACAAAAAAGATGGCTTTGTATCTGCTATGAGAATGTTGAACCAGTGACAATGTGATTAAGCCAATTAAGAAGCATTAACTAAAACTTACTGACTGTAGTTTAAGGAACTCAGTATTGTGTTTTCTAGTTTGTCTTTTTTACATTTTGTAGACAAAAAACGTAACTAAAACTAACCGAGTAGTGACCATTGTTTCTCAGTGGAGGATTCCATCATTACAAAAGAGTTCCACATGTATTAACAGTACTTCCTCTGGAATTTTTTTAGTGAATATGTAATACATGGCGGTACCTCATCGCTGACACTGAGTTCTCCTGTAGTTCTTATTTGTTTTTACCATCATCTTTTGTCTGAACCGTTCCAAAATCTCTACCGTCAGAGTGCCTATTCACAAAGAATGTCCTGTTTTTAATATTTTCTGGATATTTTTTAATGATTTCATTATTCATCACCTTATTACTCTTCACTCATTCATGAAAAAATACTCACTGTGGCCCTGTCATTGAGGAGATCACAACTTCGATCCCCTAGACATCTGTGGCCAGGAGAGCATGATTGACCTTGCTTTCTCTGGCTGGGTAGGATGGCCCTCCCTCTCCCACTATCACTTATGTTGTGTTCGCAGCAGCTTGAAAAGATGCAGAGGTTGGCATCATGTGATTCAGAAAAGGCTCATGCTAGGCTTCACCCTCCCAGTATCATGTGACTAGCGAAGACCTAGCTAGCAGATGGAACTGAATACAAGTAAAACGGGGGAGAAAATTGGAGAAAATGCTAAAACAAAAACAAAAAAGAAATACCCACTGGACATTTTAAAGTCCACCTGCATTAAGATTCACTATAAAGGTGTACAGTTACAGACGTGTCCCATCTGTTGCTGTGTACGATGTTTCAGCCCCCCTCTACCCCAATTACCACTGGTACCACTGGTGCCCATATATTATTTAGGTGGGTGGTTCTCTGCATAGCAGTGCACAGCAGTGACACTGACATGGTAATATGTGTCATGCCGGTACACGTTCATCAGGCACAGCAGTATTGCTTAAGTTTATTACACATATCAGTGTTACTGATTGATTAAAAGTGGCCCCATATCCTGCCAAGGCCAGTGCTGTAGTCTGAAATTTACCATTGGTGAGAATGACTAACACACATTTTGCATCAACAGATGGACAATAGTTTAACCTCAGTGCAGTAAAGATGGACCTAGAAGTGTTAGGCGAAGTGTTTTCCATACCATTCCATTTCCATGTGGCCAGGAAGTCTGTCAGCAGATTTAAGAAAATTCAAAACAAAGGAGACTGCCAGCCTAAGACAGCTTCATATCGTCCGTCACAATATTGACAATTTATCCTTAAATCCGCCCACAATTTTTTTTCTTTTTTTCTGCAGCTAAATTTGCTTTACCTGCCATACATTGTGGCCTGTTATCTCACTTAAGCTATAGAAAATCATAATTACTATTGTTAGTAGTTGTGGTGGTTTGTGGTAATTGACTAAAATGCACTAAAATGTAGTTAAAAACTTTTTTCTGTACTTTAGTTCACAATGTTAGGTAAACTTTATGAAGGTAAAAGTGGGACACTTTTGATGACAACTACTTTACTAGTGTCCCCCAGTTAAGTAAGTATAAGACCCCTGTTCTAAACCAAGTTACATCCAGTCTGCATTAGTGTTCTATTGTACTTAGAGTAATAATGGCTGAATTCAGCTGCGTGTTTGTGTTTTTCAGACGTCTTCAAAAGCTCATGGGGTCTTTTGGGCCATGGGCTCTGCGCAGTGGCAGCCGTGCACGTTGTGTACTGAGTGTTTTTTACGAGCGCCGCTGGGAGCAGAACCTGGAAGAACTCAGAGAGGAGCTCAACATAGAGCCGCCGCCCATCACCCTGTCTGCGAACAGCAAGAAAGTGTCCTAGCACACTTATTTCCCCTTTTAGCTAATAATGCTTTTCCTCTGGACAGTGTGGTACAGCATGGTTCGTTTACAAATTTCCATTGTTTTTCCATGGAATTCTATTTCCATTGTCATGTGACCCGTAACGTGCAGCAGAGTGCATGTACAAATCCGAACCCAGATCTATCCATACCCTGGTCAAGTGTCTGTTTCCCATCTCACAACAGCACTGTGAAAGTGCTTCAGGTTCTGATTTACATTTTACTGAGCATTTAGTTTTATGTGAAAAGTCACAAACAGCAGTTTTAGCTAGCTTTTTTTTATGCAGTTGTCTAACTCACATGACAACACACGGTGACAGCTGCATTTAACCAATCAGAAGTCTGTGTCATTTTTAGCTTCAACGGTGCATTCCAGCTCAGAACCCTTGTTACCCCAGTGAGAAGGGCAACTAAATTCAGCACGGGTACTCAGGAACAGTATGGGTCACTTGGCAATGGAAAGTGATGAGAACATGCGTGATCATGTGTACCGTACAGTACCACCCTGGTGGGAAAACAACATGGTGAATTTGGTTATCCTTCTTGCCAAGGTAAAATTGGACAGGGCCTTGAATATTCTAGAATGGAATACAGACACAATGCAGCGACTGACTATTAGACAAGCTGCCTCAAGTCTAGAGGATTTTGCTTTCATTGGATTCATTTACTCCTCTATATTTCAAGCTTTTAAGAAACATTGTATCAGCCCTAAATAATTATTAAGTGTCATATGCAGATGCATACTGCCCAAATGCTTCCTTCTGCTGGTTCCAGCCTTCTGCTTTATGTTTATGGAATGATGATGAATGAAATGTTGGTTTTCTTTGCTTAACCTGATCTCGAGTCATACGGTCATACGATCTCACATGATCAACTGTTATGCTCAGACTGAATTCATGCAACGTGTGGTCACAGAACCAAAAACACAAGACCAAGGAGAAGCCCCAGTATTATCTGCTGCATTAACACTGACCAAAAAGCATTCTGGGAAAACAAGATGAGTATTAATTGATTTAGCACTAGTTCTCCAGTTTTGACAAGTTTTTGGTAAACATCATGGTTCAAATGAAAAGGTGTTCATAGTAATTGTTATCCATTTTGAAGGGATGTGAATATTTTTAAACAGTTATCTAGGAAATACCTTGGGAAATACCAAGGAAAGACTGATAAAGCCTCAAACTTTAACTGTCAGCACATCTTTGTGGCACACCGATACAAAAATAAAGTGGTATTTTCTTTGTCATAATTGTCTGACCTTCAAGTTAGCACAGAAACAGGGAATTTTCAAAGCTCTAGCGGTCAAAACATTAAGTACAGTAACACTGAACAATTTATCCCTTAACAACATCTCTTACCCCTACCCATGTAAAGAAAAAAAGCACCCACCAGGAAACCCCTTCAGGATATTTTGTTGAAACACTATTCATGTGGTGCCGTCAAGAGCTGGACGGCGCTAAATAATAATCTATTATGCATATTTTAATTCTATTTGTAGTATCCCCACTTCCAATCAGCTGTTTGAACCCACCATTCTCATTAAGATGATTTTACAGTCTGACCACTGGACTAATCTTGGTTAAAGAGATTTAGTGCAGTATGTGAAACGTTAAATAGAAATCATTGTATTCATCTCACATTCATAGACTTTAATTTTAAACGTGGCACTACTGATTTGTTGTCTTTTTCTTCTTATTAACCTCCAAAAATTTAAATACTTTGATGCATACTGTGTATCATAAAAATGTCTCCAAGTATCATGATGTTATATTTATCTATATATCACCCACCCTCTTCAGACATACAGTCTTATGCCGAGGTTTGGGCACCCCTGGTAGATATACGTTTTAGATTTTACACCTTTTACGCAGAACACACCTCTCTGTAATGAAGACCTATACTCAAAGAAAAGATCCCCATTGCCAGTCCAGTACTGGGCTTACTCAGTGTTTCGGAAAACCAGCCTACAAGGTGAAGTTCTCCAGCTCTTTAATGTGATGATCACTTTGAAAGTTTCAAAGGCATACCGTCGTCATGTGACATAAATGAGAACGCTCTGACATTAGTCACTGTTTGCCTTTAGCTCATACACTAAAATTCATATCTGTGACCTGGTATCAGGCACTGCCCACTTTCATGCCTATCACAAACTGAAACGCTGTTGTCCTACTGGTGACTCAACTGCTGTACCGACATAACACTCATTGTGTAGCCAAGGACAAAACATTTTGTCATGTCATCTTCCTTTTACGTAAAAGAGATGTGTTTAGGAATGTTCAGAAAGATCTTATCGTGTTACGGATCGAAATGGACCTACTGTAACAATCACTGTATTATTGTGTTCCATTCTAAAAATGTGTGGAATTCCCAGGAGAGGCTAAATACAGGATGAAACAAAGACAACGCTTTTTCTTGTGAAAAGTTTAATAGGAAATCTAGTTTCTTTTACCAGAAGGATATTACCGTTAAAAAAAGAAAACAAAAAAATCTAGTTATATCATTCATAGAAACATGATGACAGATGACAGCTCACAAAAAGCTTGTTGAAATCCCCAGGATGTTTCTGAATATTTTGCGATCCAGATATCCACCCCACCCTCCCAACCCTGACTTGCATGCGAGAATGAAAAAGAATATTTAATTCATTTTGTTTGGAAAAACAGTTTAATAAAAACTGAGGTCAAAAATACAACAGAACCAAACTATATACAAGATAAATCAATCCTAATAAAGTGAGTATACATCAATGAAATAAATAAATACTACATGCTCATGGGTCCTAAGTGACTGCTTATGCCATTTATAACAAGAAATGGACTCTAACACATACACTGTATGTTCAAAAGTCTCCAGACATATCTTTTAATTAGTAGTCAGTTACTTTAAGGTGCACCCATTGTTGGCACAGCCTTTTAATTAAGCGCACAGCTCAAGCAATCTCAAAAGAAAAGCATTGCCAATAGAAAAAGACACTCTGGAGCAGCACATGAGCCTAACTGGCATTGTTTAATGCCAAGTGTCAGCTTATAGGGGTATAAAGCCCCCAGCAGAGGAACTGTATCTTTCGAGTGATGGAGCACCATCCAATACTTTTAAGATGAGCTACAGTCTCATTTGTGATCCAGACCTAATTATCCAACTTCAGTACCTGACCTCACTAATGCTCTTGTGGCAAATCCTCACAGCAATATTCCAACATCTAGTGTAAAGCACTCCCAGAAGAGCAGAGGCTGTTACTGCGGCAAAGGGGGGCACACTCCCCATTAATATCTTTGATTCTGGAAGAAATGTTGGCTGAGTAGGTGTCTACAAACTATTGTACATACAATGTTATGGGTCATTCCTGGTATTCTGTGTCTTTTGGACCTCCAAACTTTCAAAAATGAAACATTATTTTAAAACAAGATCAGGTATGCAAAAACTGCCATGTATCAAAATATTTTAATGATGGACCCAGGATGTCCACCCTGTTATACATGAATATACTTCGAAATCCTTATGATTTAAACTTGTGTCCAACATAGATATTATCTTAAGGAAATGTCCTTCTTCTACTTTAAAATAGTTTTTTTGCTAATAATTTGTTTTAAAATAGCATAAATAATATTTATTGTCATCAGCCACTTTATATTTTCTTTTTTGTATAGATGTGCATGTGAGTAGTATGTATTTTTTATGGCTACACACTCAATCCTGCTTTGTTTATTAATTTGCAATAAAATATGAATTACTTTTACTGACTTCATTAAGTTATAGTTTAATAACACACTGCATAACTGGTTAAACACATTCAAAACAGAGTGAACACAACAGAGTTTTCACTAAGACTTTACTTCACTTCAAAAAGAGCTAAACAGTTTGGAGACTGTATTTTTTGGTTGTTTGATCTCTGTCCCTCAACTGTGTTGCATGTACCACAGATTTTTTAAGCCTATGGTTTCAAATTACACTTGAGTTAAGGATGTTAAGACCAGGACAATATTTTATATTCAATATTACTGACTTACTGAAATTTGTTTAGCTGGGCAAAATGTAATGGAATATCGTATAACTGAAGTAAATCTGATACAGACCTACTATGACATGCATTCTCTGTAACACCTCACCTTGTGCTAACAGCATAACAATGTACAACCCCAATTCCAAAAAAGTTGGGGCGCTGTGTAAAATGTAAATAAATGTAAATAAAAACAGAATGCAATTATTTGCAAATCTCATAGACCCATATTTTATTCACGATAAAACATAGAACACATATCGGATGTTAAAAGTTTTACCATTTCATGAAAAATATTAACCCATTTAGAACTAGATGGCAGCAACACATCTCAAAAAGTTGGGACAGGGCCATGTCTACCATTGTGTAGCATCCCCTCCTCCTTTAACAACAGTCTGTAAATGTCTGGGACGTGAGGACACCAGAGTTTTGGGAGAGGAATGTTATCCCATTCTTATCTGATGTAGGATTCTAGCTGCTCAACAGTCCTGGGTCTTCTTTGCCAGATTTTTCGTTTCATGATGTGCCAAATGTTTTCTATTGGTGAAAGGTCTGGACTGCAGGCAGGCCAGTTCAGCACCCGGACTCTTCTTCTGTGAAGCCATGCTGTTGTGATGGATGCAGTATGTGGTTTAGCATTGTCTTGCTGAAATATGCAAGGCCTTTCCTGAAAGAGGCATTGTCTGGATGGGAGCATATGTTGTTCTAAAACCTCTATATACTGTTCAGTATTAATAGTGCTTTTCCAGATGTGTAAGCTGCCCACGCCATAGGCGCTAATGCAACCCCATACCATCAGAAATGCAGGCTTTTGAACTGTGTGCTGATAACAAGCTGGTCCCTCTCCTCTTGAGTCCGCAGGACACAGCGTCCTTGGTTTCCAAAAAGAATTTCAAATTTTGATTCATCTGACCACAGAAGAGTTTTCCATTTTGCCTCAGTCCATTTTAAAGAGTAACTACATGCTAAGACCTTTTTTTTTGGCCATCTTTTTTTCAGGTATGAATTTTAACTACATATATACACTTGTTTAAGCACATCTTTGTCAATGCTAATTAGCAAATCTTCTGTCACCACAAATAACTACTACTGATGATGATGATGATGATGATGATGATTATTACTGAAGCAGTATAAACATTCAATAAACATTTTAGCATTTACTTGAATTAAAGTTATATTTAACAGTAGAATTGCAAAGGACTCTTACTATGATAGCATGGGTGTTTCTATTGAGAGGGAGTAAAGTTTTGAAGTTTTCAGTTACAACATCTCTGATGGACAGCAGTTAATTCTGCATGTTCAGTGGATTCGTTTGATAATTTTGGTCATATTTTAATTCTGACACTCTGTATCTGTCGCTGTGTCATGAATGAATCAAGCACACGGCAGACCCGCTGGCTGCTACTTGGAGACCTCTTTTATTTATAACGTCTCTGGCCTGGTCAGAGAACTTGCAGAGAGGAGAATTACGACTCTAATATCTTCAGGGTTTCTTAAACGCTAGAGGGTGCTCCTGAGGGTTAAGATGGAGCATTTCAGCAAAATCAAAGTTTACACATGCTTAAAGAATACATTCATTTTCTGAACACAGAACAGCATAAAACATTTTCACACTGCAGTTATATTTTTAAGAGCTTTTGAATTCGAGTTTTGGAAGTTTAAAATGGCGCCTCATGTACGTTCATGACGTCATTGAGCACGAACAGCCAATGAGCTGCTCTGCTTGCCAACCAATTAGCACTCAGTAGCAGTAATGCTAGAGTCCTACAGCCCAAAACTCGTTGGCTGTAAAAAAAATAAATAAAAGGGAGCCATATAGGTAGGTTTTCTTGGTTCTTTTTAGTAAAATACATCCTTCTACTTTCTAAAATTAAGAAAGGCGCCCTCTGGTGTTTTGCAGTCCTGTTTTTGATACAATGGGGGAAATAGGAAGAGGTCAGGGTCCTCATAAACCAGCTCTGGCTGGGTTGTTAAGCGTTCAGAGTCGAACTGTGTCCATGTGGATATGCGTGAAACAGTTAACTTGCCCCCCGTGTTTAGAACTGTTTGCCGCTGAGGTCAATGATGTTGACACCGAGACAAGACCAAGCTGTTAATTTACGGTCTCGAGAACGGATTCGACTACAGCATTAATCACGATACTTCAAGAAGTTTTTACCATATACAATAAGTCATGATATGTCTATTTTTTCTGGCATCTGACAAGTTGGAACAGGCAAAATTGTGCCATTTAAAAACTACTATCAAAA